CTCCAAACGAGCCTTGTGTGTAAACGCCCTTAGGTAATATTTCATTAACTGCAATCATTGAGGGCTCACCACATCCTGGTATTCCCTCTGCGTGTTAGCGGTGAGCTCCGCCAGGGCAGACGCTAGCTCTTTAGCCTCCGCTTGCTGCTCCGGGGGAATGGTTCTGTGAAGGGAGGATTGATGCGCTCAGAAAGAAGCAGCTTTAGTAATAGACGTTAAAAGAAAACACTGCACTTACGTCAGCTTCTCGATCTTCTTCTCAGCTTCCATGATTTCTCGTGTGTACACCTGGAGTCTGTCCATTTCACAACGCTGTTCGACACACACGACAACACAGTCAGTCACACGGGCTGCGCTTACTTCCACAACTTCTGTTTTAATCGCACTGTAGCGTTTACATGAACGCAGAACATGTGATGCGATTATATGTCAAAAGCTTCAAATCGGGATATATGACATGAGCACACTGCACGAATATACAGAGTTTATAATAGAATAACCATTCACCTACATTGGTTATTTATTTGTTTTAAAATATCAAACTTAAGTTGGTTGCAGTGACGTGCTTACATGGGTCATATGATGCCATAGCTTTAGTCTCCCATAGAGGGATTAGCAGTCAACTATTAATGTTCATCACTGTAGATCCTCAACTTGATATAAAGCAAGAGGTTTAGCACAACTACGACTACAATTCTTTAAGATGATTGCAGCCGAATTAATTAGGAATTTGTGGACAACAAAAATGCGTTGCAGAGAAACGTCGACTTACGAAGCTCTGCTGGTGTGCGGCCGTCAGCTCCAGCCTCTGCTTCCGGAACTGCAGGAAGTTCTGGATCGCACTTAGAATAGTGATCGTTCGCTTCAACTCTGCCAGAAGTGGCGAGAAACACAATCAGCTCAGCAGGACCTTTCATATCAGCTCTACACTAATTACTTTAAACTGCAATGAAAACATGAAACTGTATAGGACAGAACCGTTTTCACTCCAGTGCTGAATAACATGGTCTTCTGTAGAGATGCATTACAGCAGAATATAAATTTGTCACATAATTAAGGAAATAATCGACAATTATGATTGTCATAATCGTTATTTCTGTTTTTTGCCAAGGAAACATTTCTAATTTTCATTTAAATGTTTTTCAAATATAATATTAAAAAATATTTTTAAAAATAAAGAATAGAAAATATTTTTTTTTAAATATAAATTTTTTATAAAATATTTTTTTTTTTTAAGTTGTAAAACTGTTATTTACACAGAAAGCAACTCTTCCTCAATCCAGAACATTGTTAAAAATAACCATGCACTCTGTCCCTACATCCTCATTCTTTTGCGGCACGGACAATGAAAACGTTGTCAGGGCAAAAAAATTAAAACCAGCAGAAGTAATTCTCACGGTTGAGCCCTGAGAGAGAAGAGAAGACACTTACTGGGGTTGAGCAAATCATTCAGGGAAAAATCATATACTTGACATAGCGGCAAGAACTGGCACCTGAAAGAAACGTTAATTAGTGAAGTAAACATGACATCGTTCAGAGGAGACACCGAGTAACACACTGTCCTCTCACTCACATGCGCATGTAGACACTCATGACCGGAGACACCCACTCGTAAAGCATCGGGAACTGCACGTTCTCAGACAGCGGTACCTGCGGGAGACAGGAGCATCATTCATGAAACATCGAGACTCTGAGATCCGATAGCGCATGCAAACCCCACACGTACCGTGTAGTGACACTCGGGTCTGAACCGAAACAGCAGATGCAAAACCCTCATGTAGAGTCTCTGAATGGATTCAGCCTGAAAAACAAAAAGATTAAAGTTGATTATGTGTCTATGTGGTGTTTTTAATACGCTTTAAGACAAACCATGTGCAAGTTCATTAGTCGACAGCATAGCTGATTATTTTCTCTTTAAAACTGCAGTGAACCAAAGAGTATCTCAAAAACACAGTTTGAAATCGCTGGCGTTTCTGACGTCACAAACTACCTTGTAACCAATCAGATCAACCAGTGATCGTCAACCAGTGGATCTCTGAGCTGGGTGAGTAAAGGCGGGGCTCATTTGCATATTCATAGAGCCGTGCATACTAAATGAGGCATGTCGAGTTAAGTTCAAGATATTTTAAGGCATGAAAAAAAAAAAAACGTTTAAATGTGTAATTTTGGTGATCAAAGACAAGTTTTAGGGGATACAATGATTGAATACAGGGGGACTTTAATTTTTGCCAGTAACGCATTACCAGGTAATAATAACTTTTCCTCATCAAGTACATTGATGGTCAAGTCATTTTCTCTTGAAAGAAATTAATACATTCATTAATCAAGGTCGGATGCATTAAATTGATCAAAAGTGACAATAAAGACATTTATAAATGTTACGAATTATCTACATCAAATAAATATTGTTATTTAGAACTTTCTATTCAAAGAAACCTGTAAAACTAAATGTTTGACAGTTTTCACAAAAATGACACTGTTTTCAACATTGATAATAATCATAAATGTTTCTTGAGCATCAGATCATCTTATTAAGAGTGATTTCTGAAGGATCATGTTACACTGAAGACTGAAAACTTAGCTTTGATAAAACTTTGAATAAATTACACTGCAAAACATTAAAATAGACAACAGTTATTTTAAATTGTCATAATATTGAACAATTACTGTTTTTTTTTTTTAATCAAATTAAATGCAGTCTTGGTGAGATTAGACTTGTAAAAATCTTGTTTAATTTAGATAATTTATATATAATTAAAATTAAAAACAATTAAAAAGTTTGATGATAAGAATTTCAAAGGAACACTCGTCTAATTATCATGAAAATAATCTGACAATCTCAATGGCTCTAAGAAAGGTTTGATTATCTTTTATGTAAAACATAAATTCTCATTTCTGTCTTTTGATGGCGTGATCATGACCAGTTTGGGGAGATCCCTCAGTATGGTCTTCTTGTTTATTTAATAGTGATCAGGTAATAAAAAAACAACATTCTAGTGCTTAATGATGTTTTCTAACTACACAAATTACTTCTATTCATTAAGGATGGATTAAATTGTTCAAAAGTGACATTTATAATGTTTGAATATAGAAAAGATTATATTCAAAATAAATGCTGTTCTTTTGAACTTTCTATTCATCAAAGAATCCTGAAAACTAAAAACATTTCTCGATTTCCATCTGTTTTCAACACTGATAATAATCATATGTTTCTTGATCATCATATTAGATTAGAGTGATTTCTGAAGGATCACACATGACACTGAAGACTGAAGTAATGATGCTGAAAACTCAGCTTTAAAATCACAGGAATAAATAACACTTTACTATATATTCACATAGAAAACAGCTAATTTACATCGGATTTAAGGTGACGTTGTTACAATGTTATCTATTATTCCTATGCAAGTTAATTTACGTTAAATGTTCACCTTTGGGTTGGGAGTGATGTCATTCTTGGTGAAGTGTTTGGCCTCTTGTCCAGTAAGAACTTCGGTTCGGTAGAATTGCACAATTACATCCACCTTATACACCGGGAAAGTGTTTTCATTCATTCCTGCTGCTGCAAAAGAAGAAAATACATCAATAAATCACATTTATCCAGTCAGTCGGGCGATGTTTACAGCAGAAGCGTCGACAGATCCTGTCACGAACAATCACGATCAGACACATTATAAACAACTTAAAGACACAGCATTATATTACCCTCTTTTTCGCCCTGTCGGTCCGACATTATTCAGAATCTATAACTAATACCAACATATTGTACTAACCAAGTTGAGGCTCACGTCCCTCGTCGTCAACTGGAGCAAATTTAAACTTTACGCGCCTCTAGCGTCACTTCCGCCATACGTCCCTCACGTCATCACGTGTCATCACAAAACCACGGCTGTGGCGCCCTCTACTGGACATGCGCAGGATCTGTCCTTTCAAATCCTCAACGTCCTTGTATAAATGTATATATATATATATATATATATATATATATATATATATATATATAATTATGTGTAAAATAATTTGTTTCAATTACATTTCATCATTGCGTTTTTCTAGTAATTATTCTATTAATTAATTTATTGTTTGTTAATTATTTAATAAAAAATGTAATCATTTATTATTTTAATCGAAAAATTTATAATGTAAATGTATATGTAAAATGTAAATGTATTTTTATTTATTTACTTTTTACACTGCATTTCTATTTCTATTTATTTAAATCAAGTTTTAGTCGTTTATTTCAATTACGTTTTAAGAAAAGTGTATTTACATATTTACCATGTCAATAAAATTTTATTTTATTTATTTTTAACTATTTATTGTATTTATTTATTTGAATAAAGTTATTCTTATTTTATTATTTATTTATTTTTACACTTCTTTTCCCTAAACGTTTCCACGGGCCCCTGATCTAACAAGATTTCTTCCAATTAATTTCTTGAACAAATGAAATCTATTCATAATATGTAATGCAACAGAGAAAACTAGAAATACAACAAAAGCAATGCCTTTACACTACAATTTAATTTAAGAGAGCTGAATAAAAAACATTAGAGTAGAATTGTGAGGGGGAAAGTTGATATAATAATAATAAAGAAGTCATTGATTAATTTTCAAACAAACGATCAAACGCATTTTATGTTGAAATGCAGGCCGATGATTGGTTGGCTGGATGTTGACGCCAGAACTCCTTCCACACTGGATCGTTTGTTATGTGAACGTTCTGGTGAAAATATTTGAAATATACCAGTGTGTGTGTTATTCAGTATAATCGACGTGGGAAAGCAAAGACCCAGATAAGCGATCAATAAGCAATGAATTAATCATTTCTGTTTCTTGTTCTATAAAGTGTGATATCTATTTGATGTGTTTGGGAATTTGGCTATTACATCACGTTCCAATTATATTCTGCTGAAATGAACGAAATTACTCGAAAAAAAAGATTCGTTCATTTTGATGAACTAGATTCAAAGATCCGAGTCATTAGAAAGATCCGAACACTCTCAGGCGCTGCGCTGAGACACCTAAAGGCGCGCCGCCGATGTAGTCTTCACTCCACGCCAGTCAGCACGAGCACAGAGATGTCATCGCAGGATTCTGATGAAAACTACGATTTAGTGTTTAAAATCGTTCTCGTGGGAGATGTCGGAGTCGGGAAGACGTGCGTGGTGCAGCGCTTCAAGAGCGGGCTGTTCATGGAGAAACAGGGCAACACGATCGGCGTGGACTTCACCATGAAGACCCTGGACATCCAGGGCAAGCGGGTGAAGGTTCGTGACTCACTGCTAGGACAGTTATTAGTATGCCTTATGGTTATAAGACTCGCACAGTGTCATCTTTATGAAGTCCGTAAGTTACACATCGACATCGTCACAAAGTTCCCTTCGCTAAAATAGCGTCGCTGTTGTTGTCAAACATTCCCGAGTCGTGTACGAAGCTTTCAGGAAATGTTGGTTAATGTTCTTTTTATTTGAGCGATAATACATGAGCTTTGTAATAATATATGTGGCTGTTATCGGTTTATAGTCTCTCCTGTCCACGTTGACACTCATGACGTGGAGCACTTAAAAGCGAAACACTGAGAAGTTTCTTTTGTTTTGTTGGTTTGTTTGGGGCTTTAAAGTTATGTAATAACCGAGATTATTGTTAAAGGGATAACGTTAGTTCACCCACAAATGAACATTATCCCATAATTTACTCGCCTCAAGCCTTCCTAATAAAATAAGATATACATATTTACCAGAATCCAGTAATTATAGTTAATAAAGTGATAAATATGTATATTCTAATTTTCTTGGCTTCAGAAGGCCTTTATTTACCCCAGGATCCATATGAATTGCATACATATGTAAAATGGATTACATTAATCATCTTCTTCATAGCTTCCTTCGGTGTATGGTTCATCACTGGTGAGAACTGATGATCTAACAGTGATGTCAGGGGGTTTCTCTCTTTAACCTAAAGATAAAGTGCAAGATGCTAAAACACAGATATCCTGTTCCTCAAAGGAGTTAAACAAGGAAATAACACTTTACTTCATAATTAAAAAGTACAACTACTACATCACTGAATGGACATTCTTGATGTTTTCGATGATTGAATTCCACCATTCAAAATATCTATTTATTGAACATGTGGGTTTGCTGACATTTTATTTGTGCCTGTTTCAGCCAAACAGCTGAGCCGGTGATGTGTTTAGTTGGTCTGAAGAGAGTTTTCTTCAGCTTCATTATGCGTTCGCTGTGAGAGTTCCTTAATTTACTCAAACACTCGTTTACTCGCCTCATGTCAGAGCCTGTGTGCATTTTGGAAATATCTTAACCATATAATAACCACAAACATACAATGAACTCTTAAACAACTTATCCTTTACAGATAATTTAGTATATATTAGAGATATAGATACCGATAATTCTATTTGAAAGCTGGTATGTTGGCTGATAAATCGAAATCCAAATTTTTATATAATTTTTGAGAGCCTGATTAGACACAAAAGTCTCATCATTAAAATCCACATCCCAAACACACAATTATAATATGTAGCCGATATGACAGACTTGTGCTGCACTGAACTGTATTTTCCTTTTTTTAAAAGTAATTTCAATCATATTTCAAGCAATCAGAACCATAATGTTGAAGAGTCTCAGCTGAAGGAAATAACACATTATTTATTATTACATATCGGGCAAATGTTCTGATCGGGCCGATAATGGTAACATTAAACTGAACATATATCGGCCGATATACAGGTGAAACTCGAAAGATTAGAATATCGTGCAAAAGTTCATTTATATCATTAATTCAACTTAAAAGGTGAAACTAATATATTATATAGACTCATTACATGCAAAGTGAGATATTTCAAGCCTTTATTTGTTATAATTTTGATGATTATGGCTTAGTTACAGCTTATGAAAACCCCAAAGTCAGAATTAGAATATTGTGACAAGGTTTTCATCCTCTTTAAAGATGCCTAATATAGAGTGTGTCTAATATATATATATATATATATATATATATATATATATATATTATACAGCAGTGCCTATGATCGCAGTGGTAACACTGTTGGTGTGTGTAGTTGCAGATCTGGGACACCGCCGGACAGGAACGCTTCCGCACGATCACTCAGAGTTATTATCGCAGCGCTAACGGTGCCATCATCACGTATGACATCACAAACAGGGGCTCTTTCATGTCGGTGCCGCAGTGGATGGAGGACGTGAAGAAGTACGGCGGCTCCAACATCGTGCCTCTCCTAATCGGTGAGTGAAGGACTAAACGAGCATGTGTGTGTGTGTGTGTGCGAGCTGAGCCGAGCCAGTGGCGTCGGGCCTCAAGCACCGGGCTTGCGTTTCCACTGCCGGGCCAGTTGCCCAGCAGCGCTGCCCTAAACCCCGCCCTTAACACGCCTTTCTGGATCAAACGACATGCAACCCAACCTATTTCAGCTCGTATTATGAATGTATTTATTTTTTAAGTCCTCGTTTCTTCACACGCCGTCACATTGACGTTGTACCCTTTCTTCTGCCCAAATGCTCAGAAGAGCTTTGGTATCTTCGACAGACCAGTACAGGCGATTCTCCATTTCGAGCAGCGATTATTTTGCGCGATATAAAAAATGAAATGAAAAGTGAAATGTGCAGGTGAAATCTTGCTTCAGATCATAATGTTCCATAACACCGATAAACTCCGCCTTTTACCTTGAGCACGCCTCTAGCCCAAGCTGGCCCTCTTTGGCCCAAGGTATTCGACGGGCCAGAAATCCTGGCTGTTGCCCCCGAGTAAGCCCCGATCAAGCCCCGGAAGTGACAAGCACTAGTACGGCTCGGCCCTGGCCCGGCAGTGGAAACGTGGCCAAAAATCCAAAATTTCAAAAATTTTGGAAAATTTTTCCAAAATTTTCATGATTCGGTCCAAAAAAACGGAGAAAACCAATCTTTATAAGAAAGGAGGGGTTTCTTTATTGTACATTTATTTGCATGTAGGCTATGTATGGTTTGTGCTGCGCTGTTTAAATTGGTCAGTGCAGTGCTGGTGAGGATTGTTCGCGACGCACTGACCATTGAGTGTCGCTAGTAAACATGTCCGTACTGCGCTGACGAATCGGCCACGCGGCTCGGACCATTGAACCGCGCAGATGACATGTCAGCGCGGCACGAGCTCTGTAAAGCCCCGCTGTCTCGTCCCACTTTTGGTTGGTTTGGCTTCCCATATCTCTGCCGTGCACGCGCCGTGCGCTATGTATGTTATGCGCGCAGTATCTCGCTCTAGATTCCGGGAGATTTTAACTCATTTGCGGGCATCAGGGAGACGCTATCAATATGCGGGAGACTCCCGGAACTTCCGGGAGAATTGGGATGTCTGTCATTGTTTAACTGGCTGCTTTCTGCTGTCTCAGACGACGACATCACTTCTTGTCGAGCACCATAACTTATGTTGGGTGCAATTCACAACCTCACCACTAGATGTCGCTAAACATCGCACACTGCACCTTTAAAGCATGTTAAACTATCAAGTAGTTGCGAATAACAATGTGGCTTCTTTAAGTAACCTGTGTTGGTAACTCTTGAATCCTCCCTCTTCCAGGGAATAAGTCGGACCTGCCGGATCTCCGCCAGGTTCAATTTTCTGACGCCCAGCTCATGGCGGATCAGCTGGACTTCATCAGTGTCATCGAGACTTCAGCCAAACACTCGGATAATGTGGAGCAGGCGTTCGTCACGATGGCCAGCGAGCTCATCCTGAGGCACGGAGGCCCGGTGTTCACCGAGAGCGTCAGTGACAGCTTCAAGCTCAGCAGCAGAGACCTGGGCGGGGCCGGGTGGGGCTGCGGGTGCTGAGGACCAATGACAGCGGCCGGCTGGGGCTGCGTGTGCTGAGGACCAATCACACGTTGCCGTACAGCGGCCGACTGGGGCTGCGGGTGCTGAAGACCAATCACAGTGGCCGGCTGGGGCTTTGTGTACTGAGGACCAATCACACGCTGCTGTACAACGGACGACTGGGGCTGCGGGTGCTGAGGACCAATCACACGCTGCCGTACAGCGGCTCGCAGAATGCCACTGTGAAGACTCGGGTGGGAATGTTTTGAGTGAAACCTCACATTTCAAAATTATAACCACCCAAAATTTATGTAATCCTCAAGGCCCTAGCACACTGAATCCGAAATTTTCGTACGCGTTTTTATCATTTTTTGTATTCGTGACTCGTGGCTCTGAATTGTCAAAACACCATTCCAACGCAGAAAATTGTACCCGATCAAATTTTTTTCACGGCCGAAAGCTTTGGAAGCAATAGGCAAGCTTGATTGACATAACGTGAGGTCGTATTTATTTTTTAACGTGCGAAAATTTCGGACGCGAATTTCTGACTCGGTGTGCAAGAGCCTTAACAATTTGCCAGTCCACACTGAACGCAGAGCTACTGTGCAACGCGATCACAGCCAATCAGAGTGTGAGGCTTAATGTGGAGCAAGAGTTCGGACCAATGAGATTTCAGGTGGGCGGGGCTAATGGAAATGGAAATAGAAACTGAGCTGCTGATGGCAGATTATCTCTCCGCTGTTGGTTTGGGGTTGTTATCATCTCCAGTGAATCCCATGACACACTTCAGCCTCATTTCCTTTCAGAATCAACTACATCTAAATTAATATTCCTAATTGGTGTGCAAGTTTCCTTTTCATCAGTATTGACCAGAAATTCTCTTCTTCTACTGGCCGTTGAATTCTATGCATGAGATCAGTATCACACACACTCACTCTCTCTCTCTCACACATTTAGCCAGTCTTTAAATGTAATGTTTGCATTTAAGCCCAGAGTATTCTTGGGTTTTTCCACGGATGCTTCGTTTAATCACACATCCGCATTGCGTTTTTGCACTAATCGGTCATTTCACAGTAGAAAACTAAACTAAACCCCAGATGAGCATGTGTGTGAGACCTTTAGTTTATAAACACAGACATTATGATCAGTCATAACCTCTGGAGGGAATAGCTCAGACTCTGGACAGAATTGAGACTTTCTCGAGCAAACGTCTTCAGCGCCAAGTAATAATTTTCTGGTAAAGAAAAATTAAAATGTGCAAAAAAAGTCAAATTTGAATGCACTGTGAAGCAAGAGCCTGTCATGATGTAATGTTATCTGGCAAACGCTCCATCGTGTTCTTGAGTTTGCGCTCGTGAGATGCTCCTGTTTACAGCCGCGAGAAATGCAGCCAATCACATCTCGTCTGATGAGCTTATGAACGCATCAGCCAATCAGAGGAGTCCCAGGCACCGCTCAGCGCTCCTGAATAGCACATGCTAAAAATGCCAAAATAGACAAGCGATGTGAATGCAGACTAATAGATTATAAGAAACATATTCGTATCAATATATTTTTTACATTTCATTAAATTATTAGTAATGAGTCTGACTTGAACAGCAATGTATTCTGACAAGTTTAAGATTATTTCAAGTAAATGTTTAATTGTTCATCTTAGTAAAATTAAAATGTGAATTTTTTATAAACTTATAAAGTTCAGGTAAATGTTTAACTGCCCGTCTAATCAATCAAATCTATAATATAATTATAAAATTTACAACAACTGCAAACAACTAATGAATTGAAATGAAAAACATGTTTATTATGATGCATAAATCTCAATTTTAACACTGAAAGATAACGTACAGACAGTGATGCACGCGCAGCAATAATAATGAGCACAGATCTGATCTGTCTGGACATCAAATAACGTATTCTTGATCATAATATGGTTAGTGTACTGTACTTGGCCAGGCCACACACTCGAACGGTTACAGATGAGCTTGGGCTGTAATATCTCCATTACTGTGGTGAACGGCCCTCTGGGTAATGACAGGTGCGTGGTTGCTGGACTGTGACGTGTTCTGTCTAATGCACGTGTTTTATATCCGATTAAAAAACAGACACTTTTGAACTGATGTTTATCAAAACATGGGCATTGCTATTTTATACATTTTGCATTCATTTATACCACAAAGCCTTGTAGAAAATTATAATAAACTAGCTTTTTAAACATTTTTCTGATAACATTGTACTGTTAAATTTGTGGCATAATTGCACTGAATAATGAGGGAATGACATCATCAGTTGTGGGTTCATGAATAACCAGAGCCGTTTATATTCGTCTGCAATTACTAAAATACATGCATAACTGATCTGTCGTCAGTGTGTGTGTGTGTGTGTGTGTGGCTACACTCTTCTGGTTCACAGATGTGTAGTGTCCAGAAGTTCAGGAGTTAATGTGTTAAACACAGTAATGTCAGATCTACTTGAAGGAAATCATGAGAAATTATAGTGCCTTTCAAAGCAGTTTTTAATCTTGTAGTTTGTTTTCATGTTAAAGTCATCATGTTATATTTCTATTAATTTTTTTTCTTTTGTCAATCAGTTAAATGTTTTGAGAGACGTGATCAATTTGTATTTGGTGATAAATTGTGATATTATTTTATCAATAAAGCTATTAGCATATCTTTTATTTAAGACTTTAACCGCTTAAGTGTCACCCCCCCCCCCCTTTTTGAATATAGATGAAAATGCACATTTCGAACTTAAATGGTTGTAATTCAAGAACGCTCTGGAATATAGACGTAAAAATGGTCTCGTTTTAAAGAAGACATTTGGCAGATTTTTGGAGAAGTGAAATAAATTAAGAATGTGAAACAGAAGAAAAGTTATAGAAGTTTGAGTTTATGAAAATGACAATATAAAACAATATAAAAAATTTAATTATTCATATTTTATATAAAATATATATTTTCAAAACCTGGCAACTCTAAAACTGCTAAAAAATCAAAGCCAAAAATCTGAATAAGTTGTGTTTCAAATTTTAGGTTGATATCTCACAAAATGAGCTTTCAAGTGAGATTTTGTTTGGGCGCAGTACCAAACTTTTTCACTAGGGCACAACCAGACTCCATTACTGCCCACATAAGGGTGCCTCCATTTCCATATGAAATAATAATTATTATAATTATAAAATAATTGAATGGAGGCTTTCTTTTGAACTCTTGGCATGAAAACAAACAGGTTTCTACCCTTCTTTCATGATTTTTCATGTTCATCACAATTTCAAAATAAAGGTTGGATTATGAGTATGAAAGAGTATGAAAATATTCTTGTTGCAAATTGATAAATTACGGCTCTTCTGTAATATATTTTGAAAAGAAAACTAGAGATTCTAAGCTTTCAAATGATATATAGTTTGTCAAGATTAGTTTAGATTTAGTATAGGATAATACTGTTTTAAAAATGTAATGGATTTGGGCCCACCGATGGGCCCGTGACACTTAAGGGGAAGAATGTACCACATAATTATGTATTTTGTTAAACTGTTTAATGACATTAAATTCATTTGGGGAAAAAATTAGAATGGTCACATATGTAAAAAAAGAAAAAAAAGAAAAGAAAATACTAAAGTACACATTTATTTACAAAAATGCAACTATTTGTCAAGCTTTATTAAACTACCAGGATGTATAATACGTCTGAACGGTCGTTTAACTGTATATTGGAGGCGCACATCTAAAATTCAAAAACAAACGTTCAAGTAAATGGCTTTTATTTTCTACAAGGTTGTTTCGTCTCAGTGCAAATCTCACCAGAATGTTACAATGTAACAGTAACCAGTAAATTATATATATACTGTCTATATATAAGAATGGAGAATGCAACAATTACTAAAACTGGCACAATGACGATAATACAGAACATATTGAATTAATACAGAGTATTACACAGACAATTCTACGGAAACGGTAGATGTGTAACGATAAAACCTTAAAGCGAGTTTCTTAAACACTGAACTGAGAAACAGCAGTACGAATGTCTTTTTAAAACTTCTTCGCTGTGGAAGTTTGTTCACACCAACAAACAAAAATAAAGCTATTCGCGACGTTTAATCTCACAATTCTTGCTTTTTTCGAAGAGTGGTGAGATAAGAAGTCGCAATTACCTTTTTATTTTTCATTTATTTGTTTGTTTTTTGCATGCTTCAATACCTTGCGATTGATCAGATGTGTGTGTGTGCAGCGAGAACGGTGTGTTTCATGACTCTGATTACACACTCGCGGACTCGAACACTCTGTTCACAGCGCGTGAGGACTCGGGCACGGCCCGGCTAGAGCAGATCAGTGACGCTCCGATCAGCAGATCTCGACGGATCGCTGCCGTTTCCTCACTTGTGCTTGATATAAATAACCATATTTTTGGGGCGTGTGACGATGATAAAACGTTACAGTGAGTTTCTGTAATCTGATTTGGACACTGAACTGGTTGAAATAACAAGTATGAATGTTCTCTTTAAAACATCTTTGCTGTGGAAGGTTGTTCACACCAACACACAAAAATAAAGGTATTTGCAAATTTTTCCTTTGAGTTGTGAGATAAGAAGTCGCAATTATTGTTTTATTTTATTTATTTCCGTTTTGCGTGGCAGAAACGAGCTTCAATACCTTGCGATAGGGGGGTGTTGAGTTGCTTTGAACACAGTTTTACTCTGTCGTTGGCCTACTGTGCGCTTCATGACTGACCGGGACTCAAAGTGCTTGTTTTAAATGTAAAGGATGGCGACTCTTAATATCATATTTTTGGGACGTGTTCCAGCTGAAGTGTGATCACTGATGCTCGGATCGCCCCCGCGTGCGTAAGCCGTTAGCCCGCGGTCCCGAACTCCTCCATCTGGAAGATGAGCTGCACGGCAGCGTCTACGTCCTGCACGATGCTCTCGGGCTCCACCAGCGCCGGGTCGAAGCAGAAGTCCCTGTGCCCGTGAAACACTGTCTCTGTGATGCTCTGGCCGGCGTCCCGGGGCAGCTCCAGGTGAGGGTTATACACACCTGTGCACACCAGAATGGACTTGCAGGAGGTTGCGGATGGTGACGCGAGCTCGCTTTCCCAGCCGTTGTTCTCCGGGTCCGAGTCCCGAGGGATCGTTCCCGATCCCGATCCCATGTTGGCCACGGCCCGGCTCTTCCGCGCCACGCGCTCCTCCAGGTATCGGTTGTAGAGGTTGGCACCGTAGATGTCAGTCATCAGGTTGTCCCTAATGGCATTTGAAGGGTTAACAACAACAACAACAACAGAGCTAAAAAATGTGAGTCCTGATAATGGCAGATGACAGTCATCAGGTTGTGCCTGAAGGCATTTAGAGGGTTAATAACAACACAGTTTATTAAAGGATAATTCCGGTATTTAACACCTTAGGCGTTTCTCAATGTCAAGGAAGGATCCTCGGAAGCCGGAATTTCGAGGATGCTACGTCATCGACGTCCGTCGAAGGACTGTTCCAATGTCAAGGATCCTCAGAATTTCAACCAAGGACTGAGTCCTTCGTTCGGAAAATATCCCATACACAGGAAAGGATGCATATGTGTAGCCTTCGCGCTCTTAAATCACCCACAATCCTATGCGCAGCTTTGCTATCTTGTTCAAAAAATAAAAAAATGTCGACCGTTAGCGGAGTCGGAGTGATAACGGCAATATGCTTTCAAATGTAAGCAAGTATAATTTCAGTTTAGCCATTTATTTAATGTTTGTTAAACTATTTGCATATCGGCTCAAATTTGCTTAGGGGATTTAAAGCTGTTCCCTTTTACTGGTGATTAACTTTTTAATTTTTACTTCATAGCCTTTTTTGTTGGTCACATATTTTACAATTGCATGTGTTTTAACAGCTAACGTTAGATCATGTTGCTATGGAGGTAGTTCTGTTAACTCCGGTAATATAATCGTTTTTGAATGAATAAACTCCTTTTTAAATCAATATTTTGTGTCAAATTATTGATTTATTTGGTAGGTAGCCATGTTATAAGTGGGAAAATGTATAGCGAGGCGGTTGTTACAGCGAATACAACCGGCTGATCAAGACCCCTCTGCTTTAGAGTTTGCGGGGTTGTATTCACTATAACAACCGCCTGGTTATACATTATCCCTTTATTTATTTATTTCTATGAGGACTGACAAGACAAAATAAGGACTGTCAAGTGTATTTAAACAGTGCAGTACACCAGCACAATGATTTTTGCAGCGCCGAAGCGGACCTTTCACTGATGTAATGACGCAATGACGTGCACTTGCTAGCCTGTTCCGTTTACATGTTCTCCGAACGCTAAAGAGGACCCTTGCCTAGCCTCTGAAGGAAATGACTTGGAAGGACCCGTCCTGCCAAGGAAGTATCCTTGACATTGAGAAACACCTCTTGAGTCTATTTTGTAGTTTGTTTTGAATGAAATAGAGTGGTGGACTTAGAAATTTCGACAATGGGTCCTGTCTCGACTTTTTGACTATTTTAGAATCGCCTGTGAGAGCGTTAGACTGGGTGTCTATGGGCATGCACAAACATGTCCTTAAAACAACCCTTAACGTTCATTTTCAAAACTGTGCAACTCACCGAGTGGCTGGTGGTGTTCGTTGATGATTAAAAACAAATATATCTGTGCAATGTATGCTTTCAATCCGTGTTGTTTGCTATTGTGGAACTATTTTTTCAGATACCTCACAACCGCGTATAAACTTCCGCTCGATATTTGAGTCTGAAGCGTTAGCACACTCCCGACCACTTGATGGCGACAACCAGGACGCTGTACGGAACACGGTGTCTAGCGCACCGTAAAAAAAGTCACAGACACAGTCGAATATGGCAAGACCTATGGGCAAGACGGAGAACCGAGCGAAAAGACTATAACCAAATGTAAACAGACCCCTTTCCTTTTCCGGTAGCTAGCGCAGTAATATCAACGAGCATCAATGCGATTTTAAAAAATGACAAATAAAACACGACAGAAACGGTATTTCGCTACGCTATTGTTTCAGAACATCAACGAACACCACCAACCACTCGGTGAGTTGCACAGTTTTGAAAATTAACGTTAAGGGCTGTTTTAAGGACATGTTTGTGCATGCCCATAGACAGCCAGTCTAAAGCTGTCACAGGCGATTCTAAAATAGTCAAAAAGTCGAGACAGGACCCATTGTCAAAATTTCTAAGTCCACCACTCTATTTCATTCAAAACAAACTACAAAATAGACTCCGGAATTATCCTTTAACTCTTTAAGAGCGTGGCGGACAAAATGACTGATTTTTTTCTCATTTCAATTAAATTATTGTACGATATTTTCGTTTTTTAATTTATTATTTTGTATTTTTAGGGGATTTTATGATACTAAATATTTACGCTGTATTAATCCGTTTATTCATTTTTTGAGCATAGACCTAAAAAATTTAATTTCCAAATTAAACTCATAAATCTTGAATGCTTTTAGAGCGATTGACTGAAGTTTGGTCTATTTTTAAAGAAGACACTCGGCAGATTATTGCTGAAGTGAGAAAAGTTTTGAAAAGCGAATTTAAAAATAGTTACAGAATTTTACGTTTATTATGAACATTTTTTATATGAAACATAGATTTTCAAAAACATGTTTTACTCTAAAACTGAGAGAAAATCATGAATATCAGAATAATGTGAAGATGTAAAAGTGTCGGGGGGGGGCACAAACGCCTTCAGCCAATAAATTGCCGTTATTCTATAAGGGCTTCAGACAATCGGCACACCCAGAGGGCGTTCCCACTACGTCTTAAGCTACGCAGCGTTGAGTGAACCTATGAAAGAGAACTTAGTAAATGTCTTTGGCACTTGCTGTGCCAAAACTGTCATAAAAGTTACTTGGCCCTGAAAACACAATCACACTTTTGCTTGTTGCACGCATTGGAAATTAATGAGAATTTTAAATTAATTTTATCAGAGAACATTTTATGCGAGAACAAGCTCAAATTTGGAGCACAACTCGTTTCACTTCAGCAATAATCTCCCAAGACTATTCTTTAAATCGAGAACAAACTAAAGTCTGCAAAGCATTCAAGATTTATGAGAGTTTAAGTTAGAATTTAAAGTCCCCCTGTACCCCATTTCATCCCTTAAACTCATCTTTGATCACCAAAATTACATATTTAAGTGTTTTTCCTTCCTTTGAAAATTCAGAAATAATTTTTTTTTTAGAAAGTTTTCATTCCTTTTAAACCGCTTGAATGTAACTGGAGTGCGTGTCACTCCCCCAACAGCATACAGCGATGTGATTGGCGTGTGTCACTCACCCGACAGCATACAGCGATGTGATTGGCTGCCTCCAGCCCCGCTGGGACGCCTGCTCTCTGATGAGGAACTCTGCGTAGTGATAGGTCAATTCGCTGGGCTTCCCCATCAGGGCCTCGTACTTCAGGTCCTGCCCTGTGATTTTCTTATAGATGCTCTCCAGACACACCATGAACGTGCCGTGGCCGAACCTGAGGACACCACTCTCATTTATTAATGGCCAGACTCAAATATTCACCACTTTTCCACCAAAAAAGAACTGGTTCGAAACTGGTGCTGGTTCAAAGTTGGTTCGGAGTTGGTTCAACTTACGAACCTTTTCAGAACCTGTTTGTTTTTCCACTGACTAGAGCGCCCAGGGAACGACGTTGTTACGTCACTGTGTACGTCGCCATACATCTTGCAAGTACAACATTACTTTGGCCAACTTCAAGCATAACAATTACAAAGGCGGACTCCATCATGTTTCAGCAAATGTTTCTCCTGGCTTTGCGATGGTCAGATAAAATGTTTAGTACACATCTAAACCCGCCCCAGCCCCCGACGTAAGCATGACGTGGTAAAAGAACGGTTCTAGTCCAGCAAAGAGTTGGTGCCGCTTTGGAACCAGTTTTCCTGGCCGAGAACCGGTTCTTTGGCTGTCGAAACATAAAGAGCTGGTCCGCGCGCAGGCACCGGCTCCGAACCGGCTCTCAAAATGGTGGAAAAGGGGTATTAGATCACTTTAAAGAGCACATATCAGCAGTGTTCACCCCGGAGGATGCTCTTCATCACCTCTTCATCTTTCCTAAAACTACTGGGGCAGTTCCCGGATGTCGGCCCATTCGCACCACAGGAACTGGGAACTATTTTAGTTCTAGGAACTCCTTTTAGATGAACTAGTTTACTCCTACTTCAGAGTCGCTCTGTTCTCTGAATGTGTGTGTACCTCGGCGAGTGTGCCTCTGCCATCCACACCAGGTCCATGTTGCAGGCCAGCAGTGGCAGGTGTGTGTGTGCGTGACGGCTCTCGTAGGAACCACTCAGATTGCCACTCGTCAGAAGCACGTCGATGATCAGCTGTAAGTTTGTTTCCCACCGGATTGGCTCGCCGAACAGAACCACAGCTAGTCACAGCACAACACAAGCAAACCAAATACTACTGTTACTCATTACATTACATTACATTATTGCTTTGCTTTTCATGTGGATAGTGTGTGTGTGTGTGTGTGTGTTTGAGCAGAAGCTCTTACCTTCGACTCTGGGCAGGTTCACTACAGAAGAAGACTGAAACAACAAGCACATCATCTGCGTTAAACACCATCAGAGATCTCCGAACCTCTCGCTCGCTTCGGGATCTCAGAAACACCAGACCATGACAGTACAAACATCTTCAATCCTTTAAAGTGGTGGTTGATTATGATTTCACTTTTCTAACTGTAGTTAGTATGTAATGTTGTAGTTTGATCATAAACACCATCTGAAAAGTTACAACTCAAAGAGTAGTGTGTGTAATGTGCGTTAGTGTCTTGATTAGTGTGTGTAATGTGCGTTAGTGTGGTGAGTAGTGTGTGTGTAATGTGCGTTAGTGTCGTGAGTAGTGTGTGTGTAATGTGCGTTAGTGTCGTGAGTAGTGTGTGTGTAATGTGCGTTACTGTCGTGAGTAGTGTGTGTGTAATGTGCGTTAGTGTGGTGAGTAGTGTGTGTGTAATGTGCGTTAGTGTCTTGATTAGTGTGTGTAATGTGCGTTAGTGTGGTGAGTAGTGTGTGTGTAATGTGCGTTAGTGTCGTGAGTAGTGTGTGTGTAATGTGCGTTAGTGTCGTGAGTAGTGTGTGTGTAATGTGCGTTAGTGTCGTGAGTAGTGTGTGTGTAATGTGCGTTAGTGTGGTGAGTAGTGTGTGTGTAATGTGCATTAGTGTCGTGAGTATTGCGCGTGTAATGTGCGTTAGTGTCGTGAGTAGTGCGCGTGTAATGTGCGTTAGTGTCGTGAGTAGTGTGTGTGTAATGTGCGTTAGTGTGGTGAGTAGTGTGCGTGTAATGTGCGTTAGTGTGGTGAGTAGTGTGCGTGTAATGTGCATTAGAGTGGGGAGTAGTGTGTAGTGTGTAGTGTGTGTGTGTGTGTGTGTGTAGTGTGCGTTAGTGTTGTGAGTAGTGTGCGTGTAATGTGCGTTAGTGTGGTGAGTAGTGTGCGTGTAATGTGCATTAGAGTGGGGAGTAGTGTGTGTGTGTGTGTGTGTGTGTGTGTGTAGTGTGCGTTAGTGTTGTGAGTAGTGTGCGTGTAATGTGCGTTAGTGTGGTGAGTAGTGTGTGTGTGCGTGTAATGTGCGTTAGTGTCGTGAGTAGTGTGTGTGTAGTGTGCGTTAGTGTCGTGAGTAGTGTGTGTGTAATGTGTGTTAGTGGTGAGTAGTGTGTGTGTAATGTGCGTTAGTGTCGTGAGTAGTGTGTGTGTAATGTGCGTTAGTGTCGTGAGTAGTGCGTGTGTAATGTGCGTTAGTGTCGTGAGTAGTGTGCGTGTAATGTGCATTAGAGTGGGGAGTAGTGTGTGTGTGTGTGTGTGTGTGTGTAGTGTGCGTTAGTGTTGTGAGTAGTGTGCGTGTAATGTGCGTTAGTGTGGTGAGTAGTGTGTGTGTGCGTGTAATGTGCGTTAGTGTCGTGAGTAGTGTGTGTGTAATGTGCGTTAGTGTCGTGAGTAGTGTGTGTGTAATGTGCGTTAGTGTCGTGAGTAGTGCGTGTGTAATGTGCGTTAGTGACGTGAGTAGTGTGTGTGTAATGTGCGTTAGTGTCGTGAGTAGTGTGTGTGTAATGTGCGTTAGTGTCGTGAGTAGTGTGTGTGTAATGTGCGTTAGTGTCGTGAGTAGTGCGTGTGTAATGTGCGTTAGTGTCGTGAGTAGTGTGTGTGTAATGTGCGTTAGTGTCGTGAGTAGTGTGTGTGTAATGTGCGTTAGTGTTGTGAGTAGTGTGTGTGTAATGTGCGTTAGTGTCGTGAGTAGTGTGTGTGTAATGTGCGTTAGTGTCGTGAGTAGTGTTCTTGTAATGTGCGTTAGTGTCTTAAGTAGTGTGCGTGTAATGTGCATTAGTGTGGTGAGTAGTGTGTGTGTAGTGTGCGTTAGTGTCGTGAGTAGTGCGTGTGTAATGTGTGTTAGTGTGGTGAGTGGTGTTCTTGTAATGTGCGTTAGTGTCGTAAGTAGTGTGCGTGTAATGTGCATTAGTGTGGTGAGTAGTGTGTGTGTAGTGTGCGCTCACAGGTAGCTTGGGTCTTCGGTTGTGGTCCACCATGTCCAGCAGAGGGAAAGACTCGCGCAACATGTCAATGCTGACCACGTTTGTGAAGCCCACGCTGATCCACAGGGTTAAGAACTCATCAGTGATTTATGACCAAAATCCTTTTTTACTCGCAAACAACAACAAGAGATTTGAGGGATTATGATAATCCCATTCCTCAGATTAAGTTGGTAAGTATTATCACATCTATTGACATCATTGGGGTGGAATAAAGGCCACATATGCATTCAGTGACACACGAAGCCATGTGGTGACAGGGAACACACTAGGAGGATAAACACACACACTGGAGGATACTTCTTGGCGATGTCGAGCACTGGTCCCTGGCCCGACACCAGCACATGCTTGTCGTGAAACTTCCTGAACATTCGCAGAGGACTGTGGGACATCATGACCTGGTCTTGAGATATCTATAAATGAAGACAACAGATCATCCTCCATATCAGTCGTTATTATCCATACATAAACGCTTCATATCAATGCAACAAAAAATATACAGTAGTCAACATCTGAAGTGCATCAAAACCTTTCATCAAAGTTATACATGAATTTTGAACAAGAAAGAAAGATTAGTTAGAACGAAAGAAAAGTTAGTAATAAAGAAAGAATAGTGAGAAAGAAAGTAAAAAAGAAGAAAGTATAAAAAAAGAAAGATTAGGATGAAAAAGAGAAAGATTAGTTAGAAAGAAAAAAGTAGAAAGAAAAAAGAAAGATTAGTTAGAAAAAAAGAAAGAAAGAGAAAATTTCTCTCATGTTTCGACCCCTTCAATGTGTGTGTCAAACTGAATGAATCTGATACAGAATCTCGACTGCAGGGAACAGAACTCACAGGAACACCCAGTATGTGCGACAGCTGATCTGCCTTCTTCTGGCGTAAGCAGTTTCCAGCATTCGTGACGAACACGACGGGAACCAGGAACTGCCCCTTCGCATCCACAAGCTTCTGGAAGGCTCTCTTGGCCGCTGGGATGGGTGTCTTCCCTCGCACTAAGACTCCATCGATGTCAAAGAGCAACCCGAAGCCTGGCTCCGACTGTTAGAGAGAGACAGAGACCCACAATAAAGCTGAAAACATCAAGAACAGGCCTAAAGAAAAGCACACATTACTGGATGAATCAGCGTTTTTGAACAAATCTCTTGAATGAATGATTCAATGACTCACTCATAAAGACTTCACATTTGAATGAAAGATTACATGACTTGCTCATAAAGTCTTCCCTTATTTCATAACTGGAGGAATCTGTGTTTTTGAATGAATCTTTTGAATGAATGATTCAATGACTCACTTATAAAAACATTAATTGTTTCATTACTGGATGAATCAGAGTTTTTGAACAAATCTCTTGAATAAATGATTCCATGACTCGCTTATAAAGACTTCACTTGTTTCATTACTGGATTAATCAGTGTTTTTGAATGAATCTCATTCAATGACTCACTCATAAAGACTTCACTTGTATAATTATTTCATGAATCAGTGTTTTTGAATGAATCTCTTCAATGAATGATTTAATGACTTGCTCATAAAGACTTTCCTTGTTTCATTACTGGATTAATCAGCGTTTTGAACAAATCTCATGAATGTTTCAAAATTCCACCACTGTACCTGAAAATCGAGTACAAAGTAACGAATTGTGAGTTTTGTGCACCGTTTCAGCCATATTTAAATAATATCTTTACTTAATTAATATCTAATACTGCTTTCAAATGCAACTTGGACAAGTGACTAAAATGCATTTGTTATTGAATCATTTATTCAAGAAATATGTTTAAAAAGCTTATTCATCCAGTTATAAAACAAGTGAAGTCTTTGAGTGAGTCATAGAATCATTAATTGAAGAGATTCATTCAAAAACGCTGATTCATCCAGTAATGAAACAAGTGAAGTCTTTATGAGTAAGTCATTGAATCATTCATTAAAGAGATTTGTTCCAAAACTCTGATTCATCCAGTAACGAAACTAGTGAAGTCTTCGAGTGAGTCACTGAATCATTCATTCAAGAGATTTGTTCAAAAATGCCTATTCATCCAGTAATGAAACAAGTGAAGTCTTTAAATGAGTCATTGAATCATTCATTCAAGAGATTCATTCAAAAATGCTGAATCATCCAGTCATAAAACAAGTGAAGTCTTTGAGTGAGTCATTAAATCATTCATTCAAGAGATTCATTTAAAAACGCAGATTCATCCAGTAATAAAACAAGTGAAGTCTTTGAGTGAGTCATTGAATCATTTATGCAAGAGGTTCGTTCAAAAACGCTGATTCATCCAGTAATGAATCAAGTGAAGTCTTTATGAGTGAGTTATTGAATCATAATGAATTAAACATTTTTAAATAGACTGCAACAATTAACCTTTATTAAATTGCATGTTATTTGTTTAGTTGTCTTTTCAGAATCGTGATCTCCTTTGTTGTGAATTAATTAGAATAGAATTGTTTATCTTTAATAATAACAGAAACAGTTTTGTCATTTACTTACTGCTTATTCAGGAAGAAAAGACACGACATCTTTATCTCAAAGTATCTAGAATCGTGTGGTATGAAAGTTCACATGAGGACAAAGGATTAGTCCCGCAAACTTGCATCTTAAAAAAATAGAAAGCTTGTTTTATCAGTGATTCATGTGTAAGATCTGCGTCACTATTGACTGCAAAATCTAGGCTATATTACACTAATATGACCACGTCATTGAAAGAATGTTAGCAAACACTATATTTTAAGCTGGCTTTGGTCCAGTGGAACTACACACATGTATGAATTAACATACGCTCACTATAGGGTTAGGGATTGATTTAGTGTTACCGAGCAACATGAAATAAAGATATAGATAGAATAAAGTTGACATAATCCAGTTTTAGTGGCACACACAATGCCAAGATGAATCTGTCCTCGGAGATTAGTTCCGCACAGAAGAGGCTGACGCTGTGCACTCTCGGCCCCTGACGGACGCTTGTCTCTGGGATTGTCGTAACAAGTTCGCTGGAGGATTACGGCCCTTCTGCTTTAATGAAACATCATGTTCCCCACAGGGAGTCTCTCTCGAGGAGTGATCCCGATCACTTCTCAGAGCCGGGTCATGAGATGACCTGAGGTTCATCAGCACAATCATGTTTGTTCCTACAGATCTCCAGTGTGTCTCTCCAGGAAGAGGAGTGGCTTCACTGTGATTGACAGCTGAGTGATGCTGATGTGTGTCCCGGATCATATCACGAGTCGCAGTCGCACGGGTATATATATCTGTGGCAATAGCCAGCTATACACTGTAAGGGTCACAATCAGATTTTTCTTTTATGCCAGAAATCAATCAGGATATTAAGTAAAGATCATGTTCCATAAAGATATTTAGTACATTTTCCTGCCGTAAATGTATAAATGGTGTATTTCTGTGAGTGAATGCAGCACAATCGGATTCGGCAATATAAATGCACAACTTTAAAGGAGACTTTCTCAATGTTTCGATTTTTTTTGCACCCTCAGATTCCAGCAGCCAAATATTGTCCTATCCTAACAAACCATACATCAATAAAAAGCTTATTTATCCAGCAGTTTTCAGATGATGTGCAAATCTCAATTTCATAAACCTGACCCATGTGACTGGTTTTGGGGTCGAGGGTCACAAAAAGCTGCGGGTCAGTGAGGGACTGGACTCAAATAAACTCAAGCTATTATGGTGACTTAACACGAGTCTTCCATTTATTAATTATTAAAATATAAATGTGTTTAATTTCAACATCTGCTGCATTAAAATGTATTATACATGATATCGACTATATACGCAAATCCACATCAGTCAGAGTAGAGATCAAAACATAATCATATAAACGATGCCCAATTGGCACTAAGAGGCCTAAAGTGTGCCATGAAAACATCCCCCACACCATTACACCACCACCACCAGCCTGCACAGTGGTAACAAGGCATGATGGATCCATGTTCTCATTCTGTTTACGCCAAATTCTGCCTCTACCATCTGAATGTCTCAACAGAAATCGAGACTCATCAGACCAGGCAACATTTTTCCAGTCTTCAACTGCCTAATTTGGTGAGCTTTTTCAAGTTGTAGCCGCTTTTTCTCTTTGTAGTGGAGATGAGTGGTACCCGGTGGGGTCTTCTGCTGTTGTAGCCCACCCGCCTCAAGGTTGTGCGTGTTGTGGCTTCACAAATGCTTTGCTGCATACCTCGGTTGTAACGAGTGGTTATTTCAGTCAAAGTTGCTCTTCTATCAGCTTGAATCAGTCGGCCCATTCTCCTCTGACCTCTAGCATCTACAAGGCATTTTCGCCCGCAGGACTGCCGCATACTGGATGTTTCTCACTTTTCACTCCATTCTTTGTAAACCCTAGAAATGGTTGTGCGTGAAAATCCCAGTAACAGAGCAGATTGTGAAATACTCAGACCGGCCCGTCTGGCACCAACAACCATGCCATGCTCAAAATTGCTTAAATCGCCTTTCTTTCCCATTCTGACATTCAGTTTGGAGTTCAGGAGATTGTGTTGTCCAGGACCACACCCCTAAATGCATTGAAACAACTGCCATGTGATTTGTTGATTAGATAATTGCATTAATGAGAAATTGAACAGGTGTTCCAAATAATCCTTTAGGCGAGTGTATATTATTAAATGTATATTATTAAACTAAAACAAGGACACCTTAAAATAAAGTGTAACCAATAATTTCTTTTTAACTGAAATACAGCTCTAATATAATAAAATGTAGATATTATTTGAAAAACAAACTAAATAAAGATTAGAAATTTTCCTGAACTGAAATAAGTTGAAGTTGAAGCATTTAAATTCATTATTAATTAAAATTAATAACTGGAAATAAATACAAGTTAGTTAAAGTTAAAATAGATTTAACCTAAATAGAAATATTTTTAATATTTTTATTTCTTTAAAATGAATAAAATGACAAAAGCACATAACAAAATTACAAAAAATTAACAAAAAAATATAAGAATAAAAGCTAATGAATCTATAATAAAACTGAAATAACTAAACAATGATGCGAACATTTAGATCACAAAACAAATTTGCATAAATATAATGGCATGAACAATAACAAACCATTAAGAATTATTATTATTAATAACATGATAATTAATATTAGTCTTCTTGCTTTGTATGAAGTGTCTTTAACAAGAATGTAGGCTACTACTACTTAGTTTAAATGAATCGCACTTATATGTTTTTACATAATACATATTGTTATATTTTAAAAATGCATGTTAACGACATCTGTAACGTTAATGTACTGTAATGACATCTGTATCCCCCGTGACCGTGTCCTCCTCAATAAGCGCAGTTTCACATCAGCTGCACCAGTTATGTCTGACTAAAATACCACATATAAATGCAGACCATAATATTAGCCTATGTTTTTTATAATCAGAAATAGGTTTACTGTATTGTTTTTAACTGCCGTTGTCCGTTGCTCAAAACAACAAAAATGCTGTCTATACAGCTGTCTATAAAACGAAACTGTACAGCCTTGTAGCTAGTTACAGAATAACAAACAAGGGATAAAAAAAACATCACAATTTCTCTTTAAAAGATGAAAACTGAGCTGTGAAGATCTGCAGATCAATATAACTCAAACCCCAGAAGAGAGGATATGACAGTCAACGAGAATATAGTGGGGAATAGACGAACACACACACACACACACACACACACAATGGATCCAGCGGTTGAGCAAACATCGGATGATGAAGGCATGTAAACACTACCTGACTGCTCAGTCCTCGCGCGGGCGTTACGACGCGCCGCACGCACCGCGAACACACGCCGGTCGACGGCCTCATCAGCGCGGAGAAGGCCTTCATCTCGATCCGCGGTTCTGGAAGTTCTCGGTTCCTCCGCGGTTCTGCGAGTGAGTTCTGCCCGGTTCCAGTTCCTCCATCGGGCTTTATGAGCGCCGCGGAGTGACGACAGAGGAGGAGGCGCGAGCCATCGAAATACTGAGTCAGGATTCAGGAAATAAACATCCTTCCGCGCCGGCGAATGGGGGGACGCGACGCGACGCGACGCGACGGTGCGTGTCCACGACCGCGGCAACACTCCCCAAGAGTGTGTTAAATCCGTGTATTTTCACACACAGTCCCACACAGTATGAGCTTCAGAGATGCACGCGATTACATTCAGATGCCCCAAGCAAAGATATCCTCCTGTCAGTTTTACAAACTTTAATAAACCCAGCCAGTATGATCATCACACATCCAAAATGAAATATTTAACATATAGGCAACTGTAAGCGTCTACTTTGTTAACGAAATAGTATCGTATAATCCGTTTAAGTTTCTTTTTTCCTCTTTTATTATTTAAATCTTGTGTATTTCTTCTGTTATTATTTGTGTTGAGCTTTCCACGCTTGTTTTTTTTTCCTTTGTATAATAATAAATGTTGTGCCATTGTGTTGAATAATTCAGACTTTGTATTCAATAAAAAATAAAAATTGTTAAAAATAAATAAATAAATAAAAGTGCATAGAGCAGAAAAATATTCGGCGTGACCTCATTTGCAGATAAGAAGAGAATTCGCAAAAATATGTAGACTACAAAAATGTTTACATGAAAGTAAAATATCTTGATTGGAATAATATGGTGATTATGAATCGAAACAAAGGCTACCAGTGACGTCATCAGCACATATAGGGCCAATTTTTACACTAAATTGGATTATTGTCATGTTTATTATTTGTATGTGTCATTCAATAAATAAAAAAGAAATTGCCCATTCTTATAATTTAAACTATACTGACACTTCCAACAAGTATATTGAATATACACTTTTAATTTTGTTTGGTAAATTTATTTATCCATAAACCCAATTCAGGCATACTTCCTGCTCCCTCACATTTTTAGTTTGAGATTTTGACTCATTATTTCTCAAATCTTTTTATTTAACAAGTAATAAGTACATAACAGATTCTTAAAACAATATGAGAATTTTGTGATGATTCTATTAATGAGGTTTACTGTGCTTTATTAATGTGTCAATTGGTCACATGTGAACAATGCTCTTTAAAGGCACAGTGAGCGATTTCTGAGCACTGAAACACCTAAGCCAATCAGCAATAAGGGGCGTGTGTACACATTAGGGGGAGAGACTTGTGATATATAAAAGGGGGTAATCCATCAACCAGAAGTTGAAGCCTCGCAGGAGCTGCCATCTTGTAGCAGAACTTCACTTGCATTAGCATTCTCATTGACTCCCATTCATTTTGGCGTCACTTTGACAGCGAATAACTTTACATCGGAGGCGTTTGAAGACCCCATTTGTCCTTTATTTATTTCTAAAGAAACACGACAATGTATAAAATGCTCCATTACCTTGTAGCTTATGTTATGGCCCCGTAGAAGCAGTTTTAGTGAAAGTAGGCTAACGATTGCGTCATACACCCACGCGACTCTCTGTCGCACAGTAGAGAGATTACCGTATGGACAGGAGAAGAAGCTCACGCGCAATCAGGGAAACGTGGAGGCAAAATAATTTATCAGAATACCTAGCAAAAGCTCACGGACAGCTCCTACTCACACTCTCCGCCTCTGCATGTTTCGGAAGGGAATGATTCAGATTTCTCATGACAGCCACTAGAAGATAGACAGGTTGCTCACGTCACATCTATGTAGTCAAGCTCTGTTTGAGTCTGCACGTCAGGGACGGAAGTGATAAAAAAAAAATCGCCAAAAAACGGACTTCAATCGTCTCAATGGAGTTCCAATGAGATCGCTCTGTCCATTTCTTTTACTGTCTATGGTTATATAGCACAAACGTGAATGGACCCAAGAAGACGCCTTTTAACGGTCATCAACATCGTAAATCCTGCAAAGCTTTCTGTATATTCATAAAAAAGTATACATTCATAACACTACACTTGTGTTATATTACTTTTGCGTCAAATTACAATAAACTAGTTAGCACTGCTGTGAGGATGTTTGTAATGCAGCGACTGCTGTTATCAATCTCTCTGTTTTATTTTTATTTTTTAAGTTTTTCTTTTGCTATTAGAGCAAATTGGAACACAAAAAATACATATTTCATGGCATGCATTGTCTCTTTCATGCTATAAATAAAAGTTTGCCCAACTGTGACGACTTCCAATTCTGAGAAACACAGAAATGTGAAAATGGACGGTTTAGGGGCGGGGCCATGAAGATGGGGCGTGGTCTTTTGGGTAAAGGGCGTGTTTGTTTGGGTGATTTTAAATATCAACCTCAATTCTCAGAAATAGCTTACAGCACCTTTAATGTTCTCCTGAAACATAATTGTCGTATATCATAATTTCAGTTTAATTAATAAAAACAACATATATTTCAGATAAATTAAGATTCCAAGTTACTTTAAATGTGCCCTCAGCATTTTAACCAGTCGTTTTACACAGAAGTGATCAGGGAAATCTTGTTAAAATGTGGTAGTCTTCTGGAAAAAGCCGCTCTTAACGAACATCACATGACCGACCGTGTCACGCAGTTGAGCTAGTGAGTTAATACTACTATTACTAATGTGTTGTTTATTACATATAGCTTAAAGATGTGCAAACCACAACCCTGGTCATAACAGCCAGTTTAACATACATCTTTAAAAATCTCTAGATAAGATAAAAGAGACACAAGACCTGCATTAGGTCCAATGCAGAAGCAGGGCATCGTGGGTGACGAGGATATTAGATGAGTCCTGACCATGTGATCGCTTTATCTCTGGCTGGTCACATGAGCCGAACCGTTTCTCATCACACACTCTTAATGGAACGCATGAATGTTTTCATTGAGTTACTACTACTCCACAAATTTACACACAAAGCATATTCATAGTAAAAAAAAAAAGTTTACTTCTCCAAGTAGGCAAAGTGAACAGTATACAAAATATTTACAGAGATCTTTTTACTTTTGTTCTTTAACATGTTGAACAGATGATGAATGAATGAAGAAGTTGGAAGAAAAGCCCTGGAGTAAAACACCCTTTGACATGATTACTGTGTAACGACGACAGCGTCTAAAGTATGGTCCAGATGAAACTAACAGATTAATAATTAAATTCCTAAATGATTCAGATCATAAGCTTCATACTGACCATGTCAAGTCAAGCACATTTCACATTGATAAGGTTCTTCGAACACATCGGTTTAATGTGAAGCAGGTGTGATTAAACAATTCCTGATAATGTACTCTCTCCACGTCATCCAAGATGTTCATGTCTTTCTTTCTTCAGTGGGAAAGAAATGAAGGTTTTTGAGGAAAAACGCTCCAGGATGTTTCTCATTTTAGTGACTTCAATGGGGTCCAATGGGTCGAAGGTCCAGACGTGAGCTTCAGTGCAGCTTCAAAGTCTCGACACGATCCCAGCCGAGGAATAAGAGTCTTATTTAGATCGTCTTGCACTAGCTGTGATGCGACACACATTACGTTATGCACTGAAACTCACATCTGGACTTGACCGGTTGGACCCCATTGAAGTCACTATACATAGAAAAATCCTGGAGTGATTTCCTCAAAAACCTTCATTTCTTTTCCACTGAAGAAAGAAAGACATGATCATCTTGGATGACGTGGAGAGAGCACATTATCCGGAGATGTTAGTTCTGAAGTGAACTCATCATCATCATCATCAGGTCCACTATAACCCCAGCAGGGTCTTGGCTTCTTCACTCTGGGCCATCAGACTCTCGCTGGCGTATTTCTGCAGAAGCTCCATCTTCTTCCGCCTCACCAGGGCTTCCTCGATCTGACATAGACAACAACAGCTTCTTCAGGATCTTTACACGCTATTAAATGTTCGCACAAAAAATTCACACAATTCAAATTTTTCACAGAACAAGATCAGTGTTATTTGTGCAACATTAGTAGGGCTCAAGGTTATTATAGTTTTGCATTTTTCATTAGTTTTTATTTTTATTTCGTTTTGAATTTTTGTTTTCAAATTCAGTTTAGTTTTAATTAGTTTTAAAAGTGGGTTTACTAGTTTAGTTTAGTTTCTATTTTTTTGAAAATGCTTAGTTTTAGTTTAGATTTTAGTTTTAGTTTTAGTCTTTTTTTGTAGTTTGCTGTGATTATCAGACAGATAATCACGACACGGATGCGCCGGCGAGTGAACTGGAGCTCGTCTCATTTGAATCGAAACCCAGTGTATAAGCCTATAGACCTAAGAAATGTATCTATATTGAAATGTCTACTTTTCAACAGAACAATTCAAAACAAAAGAAAACAGACTCTCTGCGTATGTAATCCGTATGAAAAGTGCATTTTTCTCTGGCGCGTTCACTACTGTGAAGATCAGCATCGCAACTTTATCTTTGCAGATGAAACTGACAGAAAACACTTTATTAATAAACAATTCAAATGTCTCCGAAAACATGAAGATTTTTTTTTGAAAAAAATCTCTATTTGAGATTCTACAATTAAATACTCCGTGACTCATCCCAACCAACCAAAAAACAAACAAACTTGTAAGCGTCTTTTACATGTTGAGCTAGTTGAAGAACGTTGAAGAAACATGGAAAAAAAACAGAGATTGCGGACCCTCCCAATACATTTCAGTCAGCAGTATGTCAACATTTCGGCTGCACAGTGGAGAACAAGCGTGGCAATCGTTGGCAAACAAGATCCACACAAAGTGTTTTAATAAGCTTCCTCAATTGACCGGCAACACGTCCAACATGCAGATGCATATCCTACGGCACCATCCTGAAATCAATTTAGTTGGAGCACAAAAAACAACCCAAAAGCAGCAGCCTACACTGGCTAGTTTAATTTAATAATTGAGTAGTTATTATTGTTCTTTGGTGTTCGGATTACACAGTTTTTTCCAAATGTTGTTTAATAAAAATACCAGAATTTTTTTTTCTCTCAAAATCTCTTTTTTTTTCACCCCAAGCTCCGCCCCTGTGATAGAATCACGATACGAATCGAAACGTGGGTCAAAAATCGTGATAGAACCGAATCGTGGGTTTGGTGTATCGTTACAACCCTAATCATTAGGGCCCGAGCACTAACAGTGCGAGGACCCTATTGAAACTGTTAGGGTTATTTTTTTTATTTTTTTTATTTTTTTTTATTTTTTTATTTTTTTCTGCAAAGTAAGTGCCATTTTCGGGGCCGCAACATGCTCAAAAACTCACCAAATTTGGCACGCATGTCAGGACTGGTGAAAAATTTTGTATTTTGTGGGTTTCGCAGATGGGCGGGGCAAAATGGCACGCTAGCGCCACCTAGAAAATTGGAAAAAATTAGCCCCTCGTCCACGTTCAACCTACATGCACGAAATTTGGTGGGGACGTGTATCATATCAAGACGCACAAAAAAGCCTCAAGAACCCATACCCTAAACTCGACAGGAGGTCCGCCATTTTGAATTTGGCGGCCATTTTTGGACGATTTACAGACTCCGTACTTTAACGAACTCCTCCTAGGGATTTAGTCGGATCGACTTAAAATTTCTGCTGTGCCTTCTAAAGGCATTGACGATGTAAAGTTGTGCTATCTGCGCGTTTTCGTCGATGGGCGTGTCCGTGGCGTCGAAGATTCGCCATGAAACAGGAAGTTGTACTAACTTGGCTGTAAATGCCCAGATCTGCACGAAATTTTACACATTTGACAAGAGTCACGCCCTGAACAAATCTACATGCCGACATTCACCCACAGTCATAGCGCCACCTGCTGGCAACAGGAAGTGACCTTTAACAAAGCAGCCCCCGCCGCTTGTTTGACCGACATGTACGAAATTTCTGTGGTACATCTACCATGACCAGACGCACAAAAAAGCCTCAAGAACCCATACCCTAAACTCGACAGGAAGTCCGCCATTTTGAATTCGGCGACCGATTTGGGACGATTTACACACTCCGTACTTTAACGAACTCCTCCTAGGGATTTAGTCGGATCAACTTCAAATTTCTGCTGTACCTTCTAAAGGCATTGACGATGTAAAGTTGTGCTATCTGCGCGTTTTCGTCGATGGGCGTGTCCGTGGCGTCGATGATTCGCCATGAAACAGGAAGTTGTAGTAACTTGGCTGTAAATGCCCAGATCTACACGAAATTTTACACATTTGACAAGAGTCCCGTCCTGAACAAATCTACATGCCGACATTCACCCACATTCATAGCGCCACCTAGTGGCAAGAGGAAGTGACATTTAACGAAGCAGCCCCCGTCGCATGTTTGACCGACATGTACGAAATTTCTGTGGTACATCTACCATGTCCAGACGCACAGAAAAGTCTCTTGGAGCGATGCCCTAAACTCAACAGGAAGTCAGCCATTTCTAATTTTACCGCCATTTTTGGATGATTTACTCATTACGTACTTTAACTAACTCCTCCTAGGGCTTTAGTCGGATCGCCTTCAAATTTCTGCTGTGCCTTCTAAAGGCATTGACGATGAAAAGTTGTGCTATCTGCGCGTTTTTGTCGATGGGCGTGTCCGTGGCGTCGATGATTCGCCATGAAACAGGAAGTTGTAGTAACTTGGCTGTAAATGCCCAGATCTGCACGAAATTTAACACATTTGACAAGAGTCCCGCCCTGATCAAATCTACATGCCGACATTCACCCACAGTCATAGCGCCACCTGCTGGCAACAGGAAGTGGCCTTTAACGAAGCAGTGTGGCAAATGCACAGCCGCACTGGCTGAGCTGCAGAAAATGAAACGCGGCCGCCTCAGACCCCGACGTGCTACAGGTGCGAGGGCCCGCCCATCGCTGCTTGCAGCTTTAATTATCCATGTTTCCATGCAAAGATACAAATTTAATGTGTGAATAAAGCAGTGTTTCCATGCAAAATAGTCACTTCCTGGGAAATTGGAGCAATAATCAATAATAAACGAAGTTTCGGCAATCAGCCAATTGTTATATATTTATAGCGATCAAGCTCCGTTGCTATGGTTACCTCACGTGCAAATTTGTGTAGCCTACGCAATCGGATAAACTTGTATTTTAAGCTTTTAAAAGTTTTAAGTTACTGAAAACTTTTTCAGTAAAAAAAGACAAAACTTTTAGGTCACTGAAAGGTTATTTAAACGTATAAATTATATGTAAAATAAAACTAAACCATAGTCTTCTACCTACAAATGTTCTAGTCGTTTTAATAACAATCAACAAAAAGTACAAATTGGTCATTGTTGCCTTACCATATATGTTATATAAAAAGTAAATATATAAAAGTTATATAAAAGTATATTTTAAAGACAACATAATCTATATTTTTACATGTTTTTAGAAGCAAAAACTACCCAAATTACCTTAAAGGGTTAGTTCACCCAAAAAGGAAAATTAAGTCATTAATTACTCACCCCCATGCTGTACCAACCCCGTAAGACCTTCGTTCATCTTCGGAACACAAATAAAGATATTTTTGATTGAATCTGAGGGCTGGATCACTCTTCCATAGACAGCCTGAGGGACTGCCTCTTGACGGCCCAGAAAGTCATTAAAAGAAAAGGTTTAAATATTCCATGTGCCTACAGCGGCTCAACTATAACTTTATCAAGCGACGAGACTACTTTTTGTGCGAAAAAAAAAACGTAAATAACGACTTTATTCGACTTTCCATTACTTCCTTATGGGCGCATGCGCGAGAACTGAGACGAGACCGTTCTTCTTCGACTACTTTTTGTTACCGGCTGCTCACCGCTTAGGAGTTTTAACGCCCCCTACCGTATAAGATGACGTACTGATATAGCCGGAGGCGCAAAACGTTCTGTTTACAAGCAGTACGTCATCTTATACGGTAGGGGGCGGTAAAACTCCTAAGCGGTGAGCAGCCGGTAACAAAAAGTAGTCGAAGAAGAACGGTCTCGTCTCAGTTCTCGCGCATGCGCCCATAAGGAAGTAATGGAAAGTCGAATAAAGTCGTTATTTACGTTTTTTTTTCGCACAAAAAGTAGTCTCGTCGCTTGATAAAGTTATAGTTGAGCCGCTGTAGGCACATGGAATATTTAAACCTTTTCTTTTAATGACTTTCTGGGCCGTCAAGAGGCAGTCCCTCAGGCTGTCTATGGAAGAGTGATCCAGCCCTCAGATTCAATCAAAAATATCTTTATTTGTGTTCCGAAGATGAACGAAGGTCTTACGGGGTTGGTACAGCATGGGGGTGAGTAATTAATGACTTAATTTTCATTTTTGGGTGAACTAACCCTTTAAATCTAAAAAAAAAAAAAATTTATATTAGGCTACTTAAGCCTATATTTTACCGTTAAATGTAGGCGATTTGTTCCACAAACATTTTGTTACTTGCACACTGAGTCCGCAATTTTTAGAATGTGTTTTTTTTGTATTGATTGTACGGTGGATCTAAATTGTCAAAACAGAAAACACCACTCAAAATGGTTGCTACGGATGCGAAAACGCAGAAAATCAAACCCGATCTAATTTTTTTTTATGACGGATGAACGTTTTGGAGGCAGTGTGTAAGCTTGATTGACAAAGTGAGGTTCAATTTATTTTTTAACGTGCGAAAATTTCGGATGCGAATTTCAGACACTGTGTGCAAGGACCTTTACACCGTGTCCTAACTACACGCGACGCGACGACACGCGATAAAAGGTATCTTTTCCATGTTAATCAGAGTTTTTGCCCTAACCAGACGCGACACGCAAAGTTTCTAATTTAGAAACGGTTCCTATTTCTGCGACGTCGTGGCTGACAGAATGAACAAATTACACTGGTTATGAGGACACATTATTTATTTTTAGTTATAAATAGGTCACTGTGCTACAAGTGATAACGGATAATTTACCTCAGATTTTGAAAGCATGTAATATAGCGTTCAAAATGAATTCTATGCAAACATAGAACTGTACTTCATAACAAAATTAGTCAACGAGTATATTCTGTTAATGTTTTGATTTTTAATAATGTTATTTCTTGATTTGATTATGTCCTTAACCATTTCCAATGTAAGTGCGGGCCAACAGTGCGGTTTCACAGAGAGACTCCGCTCACACGCTGTTCTGAATGTGTGCGTCTCACAGTCGCGTCTAGTGTGGACAGACACACTTGCTGTCGCTGGAATTTTATCGCCCCGCGTGTAGTTAGGACACGGTGTTATGCTGGTTGAAAGTCAATTCCCATTTGATCGCAATCACTAAGATAAGTAGCAATCACTAAATGTATTTATATGTAGCCTATATATCGTCTGTGGAAGGCATAGGACCATAAAATGCTCATCCAATCATCACATTCGGTCCGAATGTATTTTTTCATATGCATTTTCTTTGTGCACCCTGCTTATGCTTTACATAATGTAAAGTTATGTGCTTTGAGACATGAGGTAATGTCTTGTGACGCTTTTCAAACTCTGCCGTGTGCATTCATGTGTTTTGAAGAAGCCCCTCCGAAAAATTGCCTACCCTACCTTTAAAAATGTATATTTAAGGAAGCAGTAATGGTAAAATATTGTGTAAAAAAATTAGTGTTATGCACTATTGCAGTATGTACATATGGACATAATCAAACAAATGTTCTCCTCCATCATAAACGAGTGTGTCTCGGGCGTGTGACAAAACACAGTAAATGCTGTCGTGTTCTCCGGCTTTCGGATCACACTCGTGTGTGTGTGACGCTTCTGGAGGGAATTAAACCCAATCAATCTGATGACACACTTTGACTCCAGCATTTCAGAAACACTAAACCAACATTAGAGACGCTGCGATGCCATTGGTCCATTACTCCAGTTATCCAATCACAGCTGACCCTGAGCCAAAGTAAGGGTACCTGAGGGTTTCGTTTGATAAATAAGTTTCCATTATGCCCAATATCCCAAAAATCAGTTGACAGCTACAGTGAAAAGTTAAATGATCAGAATAAAGGATTTATAAATGAATGATTTGGAGTACAGCGCATGAATCATATGGGCTACTTGTACACGCTCTTTCCCCTTTTCGAAGCTTTACAGAAGTGTGGACTATAAACTGCCGTTGTGTTGAAAACAGCGGTGTAAAGATTCTCCGCTGGCGTGTCATGTGACGAGAGGGAGTGAGTGATGAACTGAATCAATCAACAAAGTGAAACAAACCTCCTTCTGCGAGGGAACCGGGACATGAGCGAAGAACGACTGCGCATCCTCTCCCTCCATCGGCTCTCCCGCCTCGTCGTCGGATTGCTGTAAAACACAGGAGCGTTACGGGTCTGCACTGACGGGTCTACACTGAAGTGGAGAGAGATGAGGGTCACCTCTTCATCTCTGACGGCGTAGATGTGTTCCTCCTCCTCCTCCTCTGTGTCCTTCACTCCTCCTGCTGACAGTCGAGACTCTCTCTCTGCCTTCCACTTCTCCACCGCCTCGGCGATCACTGCGACACACACACACACACCGGTTACACTCAAACATCATGTCTAAGTGAACTCTGCTTGCAGCATTAATGTCCTGTGAAGCTTAGGGTTGGGGATTGAAAAATTAAATGCTTGATTTCAGGAATCTTGCACACGTGTGTGTGTGTGTGCTATATTGGGCAGATCTTAAAGTGAAAGCACTAATATTCCTGCCATCTCGATTATAACACTAATCAAACTACAGAAGAGAGAGAAAATGCACTCGTTCTTCACTGAATAACTTTTGTTACTATATTTCTAAAGTGCGTTATTGTACATTTGATTGCGATTTCTGTACCTGGACACCTGATAATCTTAAAACACTGTTTATTTCAGTCACATCTTTGTTCAGTTGTTTCTAGTCTTCGCGGTTGCTATTTAATTAGTTGTGTTTAATTGTCTTTAATAATGCTGGAAGAGTATATTAGATCGCTCATCGTTCTTCTATGGTGTGGTAGATTTAGTATTTTCAGTCATCAGATTCATTTACATTGTGACTGTCTTAGATTTAATCAAATATGCTTTAGATGTCATCAACTCTATCTCTGTCTGTAAAGGTATATGGCCCACAGAAACTGATTGATGTGAATGACAAAGAATCAGCGTTGCTCAAAACAGGTTTCTATTGTTTGTAGCCCATCATGTATAAAATCTTTGGGCTAATGCTGCGTTCAAGTCCTCCTGGGAAGTTCGTACGTACGAGGTGGGAAGTCGTGTTTACGACGTGAGGTGCGTTCAAGTCCGTTTCGTCGGAGCGAAATGGCGGTGTACCTTCTTTTAATGAATTACACGAAAATACAGCAAGGTTTGTTAACACTGCTAATTAAAAAAAAGGAAGAACAAAGAATGTTCATCATACGGAGGCGTATTGCATTCACTTGAAGAAAAAAAATCTACTCTGTTTTTCTGAATTAATGAGTTAATTTCTCATGAGAAAAAAAATTTTGCTCTGTTTTTCTGAATTAACGAGTTAATTTTTCATGGATTTTTTTTTTTTTTGCTCTGTTTTTCTGAATTAACTCGTTATGTTCAGTGCATGTATGTGTGTGAGTGAGGTAGAAGAACAAGCTCCGCCCATTGTGCCGGGAGCAGCAGCTCATTTGGCAGCTCCCAGACACAAAAACGATGCGTTTTTGCTCATCCTCAAAAAGTGACAATTTGAACATTCTATAAAAATATCTGAGGGGTATTTTGAGCTAAACTTCACACACACACTCAGGGGACATCAGAGACTTATTTTACATTGTGTGAAAAGGGCATTCTACCACCCCTTTACACATCGTGCTTAACTGAATTCTGTTTGCATTATTGATGTCCTGTGAAGCTGCTTCGAACGCATCAGAAACAACGCTGATGTGAACAATGCATTAATCTTAATCAGCCTCGAGGTCGAGCTGGAATGCGGTGGTCATGTGACTTCAGGTCACTGGACGGTCCGATGCGCGTTACGCTTCTCATGAGTCGCATCAAAACTGCAGCTGCACGTCAGGCATTCAGTTAAACACACAAACGAGAAACACATGTCAGAAAATGATATCAGCACACAATGCCACGACTGTCGTAGAGCACGCACGCACGCACACACACACGTGCTCGGCTCATCTACAACACAGTCTGAAGTGCTGACACTAATAAATAATACTAAAACAGCTGTTCTCACAATCTATGTATAAAGATGCAGTAATTCACTGCAGATCATTAATTATGAATCGACTTTCATTACATGCATCATCATTAAGCTTTGCTTTACAAAAAAGCAACTCATAAAGAGGCCTTTTCTGTCATATACTGATGTCAGGGTTATTATCGTTAACTACTACTGTTAATATTTTACAGATATTTCAATATTTGCTGAAAAGCTTTAAATGAGTATCCTACTATAAATGTTGCCTTGACCGAAATAAGTTAAGTTGTACAAACTAAAATTATTAACTGGAAATAAATAAAACTCGAATAGCAATATTAAATAGCAGTATTTTAAGAGAAAAAAGTAATATAATGACAACAGCATATTATAAAATGACTAAAAATTAAACTAAAATGAACATGAAAACTAGAAATATAAAAATTAAAAACTTATTTGAAATAATAAAACTACAATAAAAATCTAAGTTACACCGTTGCATTTGAGAGACACATGAGCTTGTTAAAATCAAATCACACAAAACAGAACAAGTGGGTTATGATGATTAAAACTATTAGTTCCATGATTTTAGACTGTTAAATCAGATAAACACATAATGAATCTCAGATTTACATGTTGACTTTCACACTAACGCTGAAGTCGGGGAACTTGGACTCGGACTTCACATGAACACAACAAGTAACAACTTAAAATAAGATGACAAGACATAAATAAACGTCGTTGTCTGCTAAACTGCTTCTTTAAAAGACGACCGGTTCTGCTTTTCTTCATCTGTGTTTAGAGTGTAATGTTGCTGTTTGATCATGAACAAGCTCCAGTTCTTCTCTACATCAGTGTCAGTGTTCCTGAAACGCCTCCATCGAGTTTCTTCCGGGAACGAACACGTCACAATATTCCTCATTATAATAATCCATATGCAGAATAAAGGGGCGGGGCCTGGTTGAGTTAGTAGTTAGTAGTGTGTTAAACTGGCGGTTATGGAAAGGGGCGGGACATTTCCCTCTCGACCAATCACAACACACTGCTCCAGAGCACAGTGTGCTTTTCAGAAGGAGGGACAGGAAGTAAACAGAGCATTACTGACGGACTGGGAAGAGAGGAGCCGCAACAATGTAGAATATGAGGAAAATAATCAACATTCAAGCAGGAAAACCTGTTCTAGTAAAGCCGGATACTACATCAAGACTTTGAGGAAGAGCATAAGTCCTCGAAGTAACTTTTTGATAAAATGGTCTGCTAAATGCATATGAGTTTATCTTTTTTGACTGAAGGATTTCTTTAAATGAGAAAATATTATCAGCTTCTAACATAGCTGTCAACATTGAACATTGAAAATAAGGGAGATTTCCCGGAATCCGTAGCCAAAATAAGGGATTTTTTTTTTTTTTTTTACATTATTAAGAGCATAAGAAACAAATGAAAATATATATATATATTTTATTCCTATGTTATGCTATGACCTCTGTAGTGGACACCAGGACTCGATTGTTTAAAAAATGACATGAAAATATATATAGGCAAAAATAATGGCAATTTTTGACATATGAACATCGTTTTTTTTTTTGGCCTGGAAACGCTTCCAACACGCTTGAGTGTCGCGTGGAAAATAGGCATCTGGTTCTATTTCTAGCATGCACGCGTTTGCGCGTGTCACACAGGCAGTGTGCAAGCTCTAATCTGTTAACATGGGAGCCGAAATAAAAACCATAGACAGTAAAATAAAAACGGCCACGCCACGCAGCTGAGACGCACGCAGCCAATGTGTCTCCGGCCAGCGCGCGCAGCGCTGCATCCGAATATGAACGACGTCAAGCCGAATAGGTCCGAGCTTGTACGTCTCACACAATCAGAGCGTAAAAATACGGGATATTTTACGGGAAAATACTAAAACGGGAAGACAGCGGGAACAGAGATAAAATACGTGAGAAACCCGGAAAAAACGGGAGGGTTGACAGCTATGGCTTCTAATCAGATTCCCATAATTCAACGCAAACATGAAGTGTAGAAACAGTGACGGATAATCTGTGTCTCTGCAGTGTTCAGAGGGACTTCGCCTCACCTTGCTTCTCATACTCCTGTTCCAGCGGGACTAACACACCATCGTCTTCATCTCTATACCCATAATACTCGGCGTCGATGTCCTTCATCAGCTCCGCACGGGTTTTCCTGGGCGGCGGAACGGCTGGAACAGACCAAAGATATTCATATTCACAGAACACATGCTGACGTCATCAGACACATCAGTCATCTCTCCGCCACAACACACTCCATCTGAACCGCACACACTCGGGTCTCATTATAAAGCTGCGCGCAGGATCCTCATATGCATATCCTCATCTATATATCATCTGCATATCCATATGTATATTGTATTCGAATAAATCAAATAGTATAAAATATATTTCAGAGAAAGTTTTTCTCAATCTTTTCCATTGGCCTAATAGTATTTTTAATTGCTTTATATTTTTAATGGAAATAGAAAAGACCTTATTGATTATTATTTGCGTGTAAATATTTCCTCCGATTAGTTCTGCCGTTATCATGCGCTAAGCAATCATTAAAACGCAGCATGCCTCGGGAAAAGTGTTTAAACGCAGCGCATACACTACTAATATTTCTATTTATTAGAATATAAAAAATGCTGGAACTTCTCTGTAGAGATTTGATGTAATTGATGTGCTTAACTCCATTAATGAGAATGGCATATTTAATCTAAATGTGTGTATCAGATGTAAAACAGAGTTTAAATCATTCTGTTATTTATGTAAATAGTTATTACGAACATGCACTGTATTTCGGATGATGACTCATAATGAATATTAAAGTGGTTTTCCTTCGTCATCATCGGTGTCGTTAGACGTCTCTGATGTTCGTACGCAGGATCAGAGTTACTCACACGCTCCAGACAGGTGAGTGTTTATGCTTACAGCTTGTGTGTGTGCAGTGTGTAGATCTGCATCAGTACTGAACTTACGCTCGCTCTCGAACAGCTCTCGGACTCCAGGCAAGTCTTTAGCGGCGCCGAAATACTTGTACCCTCTGTTTCCCGGAACCTCTTTACCCTCGTGATCCAGCATCCTCGGCCCCACTCTCTGTTACACACACACGTCAACACCATATCAGTGATAACACTGCAATCGGGCTCTTTTTCCTTTTGGAAATTGGCTCAAAATATTAGTAATAAACCAAGTTTCTGCAATTGGCTGTTCTCCTCCATCATCAACAAGTGTGTATATAAGTGTATATATACTGTATATATACAGTATATTAGGGCTGTCAAACGGTTAATTGCATCCAAAATAAAAGTTTGTGCTCACATATTTTAGTGGGTGCACTGTGTATAATTATTTGTATATATATAAATACAGAACATGCATGTATATTTGAATTTTTTTATTATTTATATATAAAATATTTATATTTATATATAATATACAATACATAAATCTATATACAGTGTATACATGAAAATATTTCTTAAATATGTATAAGCATGCGTGTGTATTTATATATAAAATAATTATACACAGTGCACCCACATACATTATGTAAACACAAACTTTTATTTTGGATGCGATTAATCATGATTAATCATTTGACAGGCCTAATATATATATATATATATATATATATATATATACAGTGCCCTCCACAATTATTGGCACCCCTGTTTAAGATGTGGTCGAGGACTTTTAAAAATTCTCCCTTTTTTTTTTAAACAACATAGAATCCAAATGCAAAAAAAGAGAAAAATCCAACCTTTTATTTAAGTACATTACTTTGGTGGTAAAATTTTTTTTTAAAATTTAAAAAAATAAAAACTTCAAATCATTGGCAAAATTATTGGCACCCCTGATGTTAATACTTTGTACTTTGCCAACAAGACAGCACTTAATCTCCTCCTATAACATTTCACAAGATTGAAGAACACAGAGAGAGGGATCTTTGACCATTCTTCTTTGCAAAATCTTTCTAGATCATCCAGTATCCTGGGCCCTCTCTTGTGCACTCTCCTCTTTAGCTCACCCCACAGGTTTTCGATTGGATTGAGGTCTGGGGACTGAGATGGCCATGGGAGGACCTTGAGTTTGTGACTGAACCATTTTTGTGTAGATTTTGCCACACGTTTTGGATCATTATCCTGCTGAAAGACCCAATGACGACCCATCTTCAGCTTTCTGGCAGAGGCCATCAGGTTTTTATTTAAAATGTCCTGGTAGTTCAAAGCGTTCATAATGCCATGCACCCTAACAAGGTTCCCAGGGCCTTTGGAAGAGAAACAGGCCCACAGCATCACAGATCCTCCACCATACTTCACGGTGGGCATGAGGTACTTTTCGGCATACACATCTTTTGTTTTACACCAGATCCACTTAGAGTGTTTGTTGCCAAAAAGCTCAATCTTAGTCTCATCCGACCAAAGCACACGATCCCAGATGAAGTCCCAGTGCCGCTTGGCAAACTCCAGACGTTTACGTTTGTCAGTGTTAGTGAGAAAAGGCTTTTTCCTAGCATGCCTCCCAAACATCTTGTTGGCATGTAGAGAGCGTCTGATGGTTGTTTTGGAGATTTTGTGACCCCAAGATGCCACTATTTGATGCAATTCTGTGACAGTGAGCTTAGGACTTTTTTTTTACTTTTCTTAGCATCCTCCTCACTGTGCGTTGTGGCAAGATAAACTTGGGACCTCTTTCAGCCTTGTTTGTCACTGTTCCTGTTGTTTTAAACTTCTTAATGATTCCTCTAACTTTAGATACGGGCAATATAAGGTGAGTGGCTATTTTCTTGTAGCCATTGCCTGACTTATAAAGGTCATCACACATCTGCCTTACTTGAATGGTGTGTTCTCTTGTCTTTGCCATGTTGACAAATGGGTAAGAGAATTAGGCCTCTGTGTCATGTCATATTTATACCCCAGGGAAATAGGAAGTCATGAATTACTAATTAAAAGTTCCTAGATATCCTGACCAACATTAGCAACTACAGAAAATATATTTTTTTTTAAAAATCAATTACATTTTTCAGCGGAATTGTTAGGGGTGCCAATAATTGTGGGACACAGGATTTGAAGTTTTTATTTTTCTAAATTTTTACATTTTTTTTTACCACCAAAGTAATGTACTTAAATAAAAGGTTGGATTTTTCTCTTTTTTTGCATTTGGGTTCTATGTTGTTTAAAAAAAAAGGGAGAATTTTTAAAAGTCCTCAACCACATCTTAAACAGGGGTGCCAATAATTGTGGAGGGCACTGTATATACACATTAACTAAAATATTGTCTTTTCTCACAGCACTTGATAAAATTGAATTTTTGAATTTGATGGCGAATCCAGAAAGGTTCAAACGACAGATTCACCCGCTGTAAAATGCAAAAGACTTCGTTCGGACTTCGGAGTGGATAAAGAAAAAAAAGAGACTGCAACCGGACCCATGCGAAAACAAGGATACATATCGGAAGGGCATTACATGTAGTCACGCAATGCTGACGTTGGTAACATTAACAATTTGAGAACAAAGTATAATTTCCACGGTTTTGCTTGATGATAACTTATAAGTGATTGTTAGATTTAATCAGCGCGATTTACTGCAATGTCAGAACCAGAACAAAAGTGGATGTTTATTACTTGTTCAGATGACATTTTCTGGTAAAAATTCTTATGTTGGTCATACTTCCAAAACGAATAATCTGTGATTCTGAATGTCATTATCCACACCGGCTCGGTGATTGACAGCTGCACACTCTCCTCAAACATTGTGTTCATCCACGCTGTGCCATGTCGAGGGTGTTGAACTACAACTCGCGTAAAGTTGATATTCCGCGAATGACTGCAATTGCAGATTTCGAACAGAGATGGCGACAAAGAGGAAAAACTGCGGACTACAGCTTTAAAAATAATTAACAGCTTGTCTCATTACATCTCTTTAAATGAATCAGCATTTTTGAACGCATTTGTTGAATGACGGTTTAATGACTCACTCTTAGGCCGTGTGTCCACCAAAGCGTTTTTAGCCAGCTGAAAACGCTAGACGCTCTGCTGAAGACGCCGTGCTTTTGGGGCTTGAGAGCGTTTTGGCAGCGCAGCTTTTTTTCCGTTGAGACGTTTCGTTGCTATGATACATGATGGTATTAGTCCCGCCCCTCCTCCACTGTGATTGGACGGCTGGGTTAAATAGTGACAGTGATGAGCGCTGCGTTTTATCATTTTAACATTTTTCAACTCCCTGCGACCAGTAAAAACCGCTGGGCGCTCGGCGCTTCAGCGTGAAAAAAAAACGCTCAGCGCCTCGGTACGCTCAGGGCGTTTAAAAAAAAACGCAGCGCTCCCATTGAAAACAATTGAAAACATACGCCAGGCGCGTGGAAAAACGCTTTGGTGGACACACGGCCATAGACAGGCCGTTGCCGACCCTAGTGGCGTGACAGTAGCTACGTTTACATGGACACAATCGGAATGAAATCAACACGATTGATGAATCTGATCAAGGTTATTACATGAATGATAAATAAAGTGAGCGGGTGCGTATTGACGTGTGCGTTTCATTTAAAAACGGAGACCTTTTGCTACGTTTGCACCTCCTGTCCACACTAAAATGGGAAAAACGAAGACCTAAAACGGAGAAGTTTAGAAACGCTGCATGTGCGTTTTGCATTTTGAATATCCGGAGGGCGTTTTAGTGTGGACGAGACAAAAACGGAGAACTTCAGAAACGCTGACGCTTGGCTCTATGATTGGGTGTTATCAGTCATGACGTATCCTTCCCTCAATCGTCATTCACTGTTTACACGGGCGCGCGCATGCCCAGTGTTGGTGAATGGTCACGTGATCCGCGTTTTCAGTCGTTTTAATGTGGACGGAGATCGTTTCTAATACGCAGATAAAACGCTTGTGTGGACGGAGATCGTATTCGTTTTAATTCTCCGTTTTTAAACGAAAACGCAGTAGTGTGGACGGGGCCTGAGACTCAAGCGCATCATCGCATTTGTCTCCATCAGCAGGAAACACATCATCACTGACTCTCACCCGGTAGTCCGGTCCGCCGAGCTCCTTGATCCGCACTTCCCAGTGGCCTTTCTCTCGCAGCAGTTTGTTGATCTCATCGTTGAGGTCGCGGATCTTAAACTCGCCCAGACCGGCTGAGGAAGACCATCTCAGTTAGTAGAACCAAGGAGAACCTGGCTCTCGACTAACACACACACACCTCGCACATTCTCGTCTCACACACCTCGCTCGCTCTTGTCTCACACATACACACACATCTCACTTGCTCTCGCTCTCACCGTTCTGAATCTGTGCAACCTTCTTGGAAATCTCACTGATGATCTGCAATGGATGAGAACACACATATTTAGCTCAGCTGTTACAGGGAGAGTTTGGGTGAACGCTCTCTCTGTAGGCACAGCACACGTGTCTGAGACGGATGTGTGGCTCCTGACCTGTCTCCTCCACTTCTCGGCTTTGGGCAACTCATTACACTCCGACGCCAGGAAAGGTCTTCTCTCCTGTGAACACGTCACATGACCAGGAGAACACGTCACATGATCAGGAGAACACAATCAAGCATTAACGTTTGTCACATCAGGATTGAGATTAAACCCACCTTCACTTTTCCCTCTTCCAGCTGCGCCTGACGAAACCTGGCCAGAGCCGTCCTGCACAACACACACACGCATTTATATTTATGTATGTGTAAGTCTCTTCTGCTCACCAAAGCTGAATTTTTTAATCAAAAATACAGTAAAACTGTGAATATTATTCCAGTGTAAATCATCTGTTTTCTATGATAATACATATTAAAGGCTCAAGAAACATTTATGATTATTATCAGTGTTGAAAACAGTTTGTATTTTAGTGGAAATTGATACACTTTATTTTCTAGAATTATTTGATGAATATAAAGTTCAAAAGAACAGCATTTAATTGAAATAGAATCTTTAATCACATTATAAATGTCTTCTTTACGGTCACTTTTGATCTATTTAATGCGTCATTTATTAATGAAAGTATTAATTTATTTATTTTTAATTCTTACCGATCCCAAACTTTTGAATACAGTATATATGCTTCTTTAAATATTAAAAAGTATGTTGCCCCTCTTACCGAGTTTTATATTAAGTTTTAGAGTAGTGCAACTTAATTTATAATATGAACATTGATTTTTGTGAAAACATTCAGCTTTCTTCTACATTCATTTTTCTTCTGTTTATACAGTTATTTCACTAAATAATAAAAAGAAATGTTATATTTCTCATGAAAAATTAAGCTATGAGAGATGATCATATATATATATATATATATATATCTTAATGCGCCAAAAACAATTTACACGAAATTGTATCAACAAGTATAAAATAATACAAAGAACAAAGAAATAACATAAGAATTATAATCTACAACAAAAAAAGACAGTAACTTAGATGACTAAGAATTTGCACTTATACATTTCTTTCCAAAAATAATTCTCACTGAATATGAGAGTTAGTTTTGTGAAAGAGGAATAATATTAGCCTAAAAGTATTTCTACACATTAGGTAAATATAATAACATATAGATGAGCATTCAGTTGGTGAACTATGTTTCTCTGTGTTTCTATGTTACTATGTTCATCATCAGTGATGAAGAAAAGCATTAACAGGACATTTTAAGACAGAAGACACACACTCACATGGCCTTTTCTGCGTTTCGAGCCTGGAAATAAAAAACAGCAATCTTAATTTCTCACAAGTTCATTATATAACATATAATATAACCATACACAAATGCAACTCTTTGTCAGATATAATAAGTTGAAGATTTATTTGAAAAACTAGCTGCAATATATCACAACATGTGTGTGTGTATGTATGAATAATATATATATATATATATATATATATATATATATATATATATATATATATAATTAATAAGCCTAAAATAATCCGATGAATGTGTTTTTAAGTCTTTGGTTAGCTGCAATATATCACAACATGTGTGTGTAACGTTATATGTATGAATTATATATATATATATATATATATATATATATATATATATATATATATATATATATATATAAGCCATCAGCTTTTATATATAAGCCTAAAATAATCCAATGAATGTGTTTTTAAGTCTTTGGTCAGCGGTGAAGGATAAAGTCCCGCTACTTTAACACAGATGTCTTCGTGTTCATGTTGATAAAGAAAGCTACTCTCTGTTCTAATACGCGAGTGATCATGAGAAAGACTTTAGCTGAAGAGAGATATTTATTTTACCATGTTTGTGGTTCAGATGTTCAATCCTCCGTGAACTCAACGGTGAGCGCGCTCGTCGCACGGATATGACTTATGGCTACACTGGACAACTTCCGGCGCGCCAGCGATGACAGATCATACCATGTGGGTTTATTTTTCTGATTATACTCATGGTGCTAAAGTTACTATTACTATTAGAGATGATCGTTAAATCACTCATAAGTAAAGGTGAAACATGTTTCGACAGAAGTGCTTTTTGCGATCTAGTGGTAAGAGATAAAACTGCACTCGTTTCAAGAGATTTAACTTTAAAGGTGCCAAATGGGATTTTAAATCAAATCATACAACATGTTCCATACCAGATGGGGGCAGTATACCTCCAGAAATACCTCCACGGCCACGCGCTCTCTCATGTCTTCAAACAATATGGGCGAGTGCTGTGTTGCTCTGTCTCCCTCGTGCAGATTAATCAAATCAATTGACGCGATAGTAAAAGGTTGGAAGACCGCAGTTTCACGTGGAGCATTTGGAGATTTTCAGAGATTAGAGACTTAATGAACAACATCTCAATACTAAATTATAAGGGCCGTCTCATAGACAAGTCGGTGCATTTCGACGATATGGGAAAATTAAAGCCCAGGCTATTATTTCTAGTTTTATGATATTCGATTTGTTCATATTACATTTTTATCATTAGTTTGAATTAATTTGACAGACAGCATTACCTGATGTGGACCAAGCTAGCGTCTTTCAGAGCTGCCAACTCTCACAACACTTTTCACACACTTTCACGCCACACATCAATTTTGTCATGCACAGAAAAGGACACGGAGACCGATGTCAGCTCTCAGATTCTGTTCATTTTATTACGCAATTCAAACAATAAATACAGTATTGGCACTTTACACGACAGATCCCTAGCGCACGTGAACCGATCATCTCTACTAGCTAATGGTAAAAGAACACGAACACTGTTGAAAGATACAGTATGCTACAACTTACCAAAATGTATTCCTCATGCATAATATCGACCAATCATTTTTTTTTAACTCTTCCCTGAACTGAAATGTAGTAGTGGGCTGTATTTTCCACACGACTGACGTCAGGTTCAAGTACACACAAGCTGGCGCGAGCGCGACTTACTCGTGTACTGCAGTTTGGCTGGTGGTAACGTTGCCCGCCCGCATACCGCCTCCCATGGTCGAAACTGGTATTACGACACCTAACGGGCCGGGGCTAGTAATTTAGCATGCTAATTCAGGTTAATATCTCGGCAGCACTATAACTTGTCAGTTTTTTAATGACATCATCAACCTTATTTCTTCTCAATCTTTTGATGCGTGTTGCTCATTTTTGGGATATTTTAACCTCAATTTTTACAGATGGCACCTTTAACTGACAGTTTTCCTTCAGATCAGCAGGACTTGTGGAAGAAGCCCGTAATGTAATACTGATTTAAAAACTCGCAATCATAACATTAAGTATATTATTATGACAGTCATTTATGAGCTGAAAAGTCAACAAGTAATAGTTGTAACATCTTAAAACATATTGAAATTAAAGTAGAAATTGACTTTCTTTGTCATAATTATGACTTTTTCTCATAATTTCGACTTTTCATCTCATAAATAAGACTTAGTATGGACATCATTTTATCTTTTCTGCTTGTTTCCTGCTTATTTTTCCATGTGCGAGAGTTAAAACGAGAATAACAACAAAATGCAGTAATGTTAAAACTCTTCGCGCTAGAAGAGTTTATAATTAACCCACTAAATTAAAAAAAAAGAAAAAAAACTGTTTACAATATCAAGAAGCATAACAAGCTTTTACGGCTAAAAATGAAGCGGATGAGACGGGAAGCCAGGCACATTAAATATGTGGAAAAATAAGGTGGATATCATCATTAAATCAGATTACCCAAGATAACAGGATCTAAAACACACTGGGTTAAAAAAAAAAACATCAACCCCATTTGGGTTGTTTCAATACAAGGGCTGGAAAAATATAGGACAGAACATATGTTGGGTTAATTTTACCCAGCAAATTGGGTTGTTTGTTTAACCTAACATTGATTCGTTGATTCATTTTCACTATTATAGGCTACTAGCTTCTTTTACTTCATACATGAATTAATGTCTACGGATTTACTTAAAGGGATACTTCAGGATTTAGCATTAAGCTTTGTATTAGTAGAAAACCTGTAGTATTTTCAAGACTACTTGTCTCCCCCTGAGACAAGAGATTTATGTATTTTTTGTCTGGAAAATATCCTCCGATGATGATAAAATCGTAATTTTGTCTCATTGGAGGATTTTTTGGCCAGAGGCTAAAGACTAGTCAGTAGTCGGGTCTGTCCTGCATGTTCTCAACTCGCCCATAGAGGGCGATCTCACTCACAGAATGAACACATAGTGTCAGCCATCTTTTTTGGAAGCTAAGCTAGCAGACTCTTGTTCTGTGGAGAAAGCTGTAGTAGGGGTTACCATCCTCTTTTTCCCTGACCGTCGATGTCCAGGATTCAGCTTTTGCTTTCTGCAGTCGCCATTCACTGTTTACATGCACATGTTTTGTTTCAATCTAACTGAATTCATTGCGATTGGTGAATCTGCAGAGCTGCCAACTTTTGAGTTTAGCTTGGCGTGAGACTTCTCCAACGAGGCACACACATTTTGACCACTGATATATACATTCTCTCTCTCTCTCTCTCTCTCTCTCTCTCTCTCTCTCTCTCTCTCTCTCTCTATATATATATATATATATATATATATATATATATAATAAAGTCATTTTATATAGATCAGTGACTCTGACCCAGTTGAACCCAGTTGAACTGATGATGAAAACCACTTTAATATTCATTATGAGACATAATAATAAATACAGTGCATGTTCATAATAATGTTTACATACAGTAAATAACAGAATTATTTAAACTCTGTTTTACATCTGATATACACATTTAGATATAAAGTTAAGCATTTAAATTACATCAAATCTACATTACATCAAATCTAAGTTACAAAAAAATATATTCTAATAATTAGAAATATGAGTAGTGGATGCTCTGCGTTTGAACACTTTTCCTGAGGCATGCAGTGTTCTAATGTTTAACAGGGAGGATTGCTGATAATAGCAGAACTCGTCTGAGGAAATGAAGAGTTCAGATGCAAAAGCCTCTAAATGCCATTTGAAATTTTCTTCTTTAATGATGATTTTTATCCAACTTGTATATTTAAGTTCAGTAATTTCACTTAAATGGCAATGATAATTACCTATTAATTGTTATTTAAGTGAAATTACTGAACTTAAATATAAAAGTTTGATAAAAATCATCATTAAAGATGAAAATTTCAAATGGCATTTAGAGGCTTTTGCATCTGAACTCTTCAAATATTTACATACAAATTATGATCAATAATGCACAATAGGGCCGATCTGTTTCCATTAAAACGTCGGCCAGTGGAAACGATTAAAATTTTATTTGATTTTTTCTGAAATGTTTTTATTAATTTTATTTGATATTTTTTAGAAAAGTATTGTGTTGCTTTTTTCATCTGGGTTTTTTTTTTTAAAGTAAAACATTTTGAAACAAAAGATTTTCACACAAAAAAAATTGCAAATGTAATAAAGACCCTTTCACACCAAACATGAAATAATAAGGAAACGCAGGTTTACTCCTGTACAGTAGAGGGCGCCGCTCACACTAACCCTTCAGCGGCTGCTACTTTTCCTTGAAGTGGACACTTGTTGAATGTGCACTTAGAGGAGAACGTGCGCAAGGCCCCAAAGATGTGAAAAGCAGGATTGGAACAGTTTTGCCCATGTCACAATCTACATCACTTATGTTGTGACCTTTTTACAGTCTATGGTTGTGATCGATCAGGAGAGCAAACACCGTTCATTTGGCTAATGTGTGCTGCTTATAATAGCTGTAACATGAGACAATCCTTTGAATGAAAACAAGAACATCTTTTTTTACTCATAGCTACCAATCTTTCTGTTAGTTTTTGGCTAAGATAAATTGTGATACGATAAATTGTGATTGAGGTTTACCTGCCTTACCGTATTCACAGCGATTCGAAATACAATTTTAATGATGTTATTATAGAAATTGATGTATTCAATTTGTCAAATTGTCAATTTGTGCGTTTTGTTCGTTGAATGAACCAAATGACTCGGAAAAAGATTTGTTCATTTTGATGAACGAGTTCGAACAGGAGAGTCACGAACATGCTTCACAGAACAGAGCAAGGCGACCATTTGAGCTTATAAAGCTTAAATTTTGTTGTTGTTGTTGTTGTTTTTAAATGAGTGATTATTTCGCTTGATAAGCGAAATTGACGATTATTCATCGTCTGGAATTGTTTAAAGCCCTTTGAACAGTTTGCAGTTTGCACTGAAACGGTCTTTTGGACCTTGAACCGTTTGGTTCCCACTGAAGTCCATGGAGAAAAATGCTGGAATGTTTTCATCAAAAACCTTCATTTCTTTTCGACAAATTAAGAAAGTCTTCCTTTGTTTCGACAAACAAAGAAAGACATGGACGTGGACTGTGATGCTCTATTTTTCACCCACTCTATTATTAAAAACTTTTGTCTGATCTATAAGATGAGTTCACTTGGAAGGGGAGTGGTCTTGAACACGCCCCCATCTATTGACTCCACCCCCACACCAAAAGAGTGCCGTAAAGAGAAGCGCACAGGGAAACGGCATCACGATCGCACTCGACGAAACGCAGAAAAAAGGAGCGTTGCAAATTAAACCACTTTTGCGATCCTTTATTTTGCGACACTTTTTTAATTACACATAATTATTATTACTTGTTTGTATTACTTTTATTAGTATTATACTTTATTATTTTGCAAACAAACGCGTCATCATTTTGACTCCATAAAAAAAAGAATTGTCCGTTTTGATTTGATGGTGTCTTTAAGCTCAGGCTCTCCTGATGTGTTTCTGGTGAAGTCTGACATTCCTTCATCATTTGTAAGAGGTTCGATACACAGCTGATGAACGCCTGTGCGGACTTCAGTGTGTGTTCAGCTCTCCAGATCTCCAGTTACACACACTCCATGTTTAGCTCTGGTCTTGTTGATCTTGGTAACTCACACCTCACATTACTCAGAGGCTCGTTCGGCTTCAGGAGACCTAAGAATAAACCTTCTATATACAGCGTTAATCACTTCACATGACATCAGAAGCGAAGTTTTTATCAAGCGCCGACTTGTGTTTCAATGCTTCCTGCTGTATGATCTGATAGCGTTTGTGTTTACAAGGAAATATGCTTTAGTATAAATATGCTGTTTGGTGTCTTGAATTACTGAACGTGTCAATATGTAGCTGCATTTGCACCAATGTCACTACAACCATCCATGAAGTGTTATTATAGTCTTATACACACCAATACAACCATCCATGTAGTGTTATTATAGTCTTATACACACCAATACAACCATGTAGTGTTATTATAGTCTTATACACACCAATAAAACTATCCATGAAGTGTTATTATAGTCTTATACACCAATACGTGTAGATTAATGAAAAAGATGCATTGGGATTGACATTTAAAGACATTATAAACTCAATTGGAGTTAGACAACACATGTTAGGACCCACTCATTGCCGTAATCATACTCTAGATCTAATATTATCACATGGAATTGATGTTGATGCCGTTGAAATTCTGCAGCAGAGCGATGACATCTCAGATCACTATCTAGTCTCATGTAAACTTCACTTAGCCAAAGCAGCAAAGCCGACTCCGTGTTATAAATATTTTAGACCTATAACCTCTGCCACTAAAGATTGCTTTATCAATAATCTTCCTAATCAGTTTCATGATCTCAGCATCCCGGATAGCTTAGAAGAACTCGACATCGTGACAGAAACTTTTAACTCTCTCTTTTCCAGCACTTTAGACGCAGTTGCTCAAGTTCAGTATGGCGTACCACAAGGCTCAGTACTAGGACTGTTGCTATTCACTCTGTACATGCTACCATTAGGAGATATCATTAGGAAACATGGAATTAGCTTTCACTGTTATGCTGATGATACTCAGCTGTATGTTTCTTCAAAACCCAACGAAACTTACCAATTCACAAAATTAATGGAATGCATAGCTGATATAAAAAATTTGTATGACTAGTAATTTCCTACTACTAAATTCTGGAAAAAAAAAAAAAAAAAAGATTCTAATTATTGGACAAAAAACGTCCACACGTAACAGTCTAACACTTGATGGCTGCTCTGTTATGTCTTCATCGTCGGTTAGGAACCTGGGTGTGCTCTTTGATACCAATCTCTCATTTGAAAGTCACGTGAATAGTATCTATAGAACCACATTTTTCCAACTTAAAGTCCCCGTGAAATCAAAATTGAACCTATTTACTTTGTTAGCGCATATTACTAGTCTTGTGGTGAACAATTAATCCGTGCAAGTGAATATATATTAAAAAAATGTTTTACCTTAGTAATCTTTAATCAAAATCTGAAAAGTTACTTACGGTCTGGAACGGTTTCTTTTTCTGATGACGTAGGTTTCACAGTTTGGGTGGGGAAACGCTTAACCACTCCCCTCAAACCGTTAGTTTACTATGAGCGAGAGATGGAGAGGAGGAGCGCTAGAGTAAAACCCTGCCCTCTGTTCAATATTCCGTTTCACTTGGAAATACGTCACAGCACTGGAGAAAAATCGTTTGCAACTTCCGGTTCACGGGGACTTTAAAAATATATCTAAATTACGCCATATGCGTTCATGACATCAAGGCTAGATTATTGTAATGCTAAAAAAAATACAAAAAAAGACTATTGTAATGCTCTACTGGGTGGTTGTCCTGCACGCTAAACAAACTTAAGCTAGTACAAACCGCAGCAGCTCGAGTTCTTACCAGAACCAGGAAGTATGACCATATCAACCTGATTCTGTCAACACTGCATTGGCTGCCTATTAAACTTTGTATAAATTTTAAAATATTGCTTTTGTACACACATATGAACCAAGGAACAGATTCAACATAAAAAGTAACTTTTTTAGTTTTTATTTCAATTATTTTACTCTTTATACATACATACATACACGCATAGTTGTAATTAAAATTATTCAACCCCAATGCAAATCGGGTTTATTGGCAGAATGAAGACGTTCAGCTCTTGGCAATGAACAAATCAAACTAAAGTAAATTAAATAGTTTATCACAATAAATGTGTGGTTTCTCCAAATTCAACTGAAAATACAACTTTTGATGACTTCTGATGATCTATGATTTCTTCTATGATCAATGCTTATCATACTTTATTTTTAGAAAAATATACACACACAAACTTTTTATGTTAGATGCAATTAATTGATCTGACAAAGATATATTCATAAACATGTATGCGATGTGTGTATATATAAATATATTTATATTTACATATTATTTTAACTAAGTCATTTGCCAATTATACTATTATTTTTTGTAAATGCATACAAATACACAATTGTAACGCTTATACATTCATACATAAATACATTTATACAAGTGTGTGTAATTTATATAACATCAAATCGTCAATCTGTGAAACTGATTAATTCTGACTGCATCTAAAAAACTTTGAGTGTGTATGTGTGTGTGTATATATATATATATGCCATCAAATCATATAAATACAATTAATCAATTTGGTGACACTAATATATATGTGTGTGTGTGTAATATTATTATAAATATAAAAAAATGCATTTATATGTTTATATCTTTAGAGTAGTTTGATACTGTACAAAAACATGATCTGTGAAAATTTATGTTGTGACATTATCTCTTCATCTTTAATTATTTATTTTTTTAACGTTAATAAGAATATTACATTAATAAAAAAAAAGTGAGTTTGGGAAATATTTTTCGTGAAAAACAATATGATGCTACGAGAGCTGATCATATACACTGATTATGTTAAAAATATGGTGAAATGCGCAGACGCTTTTCTTGATGCAGGAACATCTGGCATGAAGGGTGTGTGTGAGAGAGAGAGAGGGTGCTTCCCAATATCCCTCCTCACTCCTCCGTCCTCCATCCTATGACCCGTAAAACCGATCGAACTCAGCCATCTTGAAGGACATCTCAATTCTCTAATTGCACCGTGAGGAGTCAAGGATAGAGGAGACTTCCAGAGGAGTCATGAGCGATGATGCACAGGTGCATTCTATGCTGAAATGTTTTATTGACTAAATATGACGCAACATAAGTATCAATTCTCCTCCCCCTCCACATCAGTCACAATCATTTTAATTTATCCTTTACCTTTGCAGTTTATATAAACCACACATCTCACATATTTCAACAGTGTAGCCTATCTTTATTAATATTCATTATGAATTTATTAAATAACCAAACTTCAACAATATAAGGGGGGCAGATCCTTTAAGTGCTGCTGATGACACTGTGGAGTGACGCTCGAGTATTCCAATTATGTTGTTGTTGTTATGTTGTTTTACTCTGTAAACCGAATGTTTAAATAAAGCATTTAAAAAAAAAAAATGTAAAAAAGCTTTTATTTGATTCCTCCATCCTCGTTTCCTTTCCAAGCTTCCTTCCCTCGTGTCCTGCAGGGGGTGGAGCTGAGACGCAAGGAAAGGAAACGAGGATGCACAAATAAGAAATCAGAAGCACCCAGAGAGTGAGAGTGTGGAAATTGCCAAAAATTATTGTAGGGGTTCACCGAAACACATCCACTTCCGCCTGCTGAGCTGAGCTAGGCCTGTACCCGCTAACATCAAGATCCAGAAGAGATGTGTTCAGTTCTGGCATCACCTCCATCAGTCTGATCCAGAGTCAGTCCAATATAAAGCCCTCCTCGCCAATGAAAGCTCAGCAGAACCTCACTCGCTCTTCAACTCGTCTACACTGACCACAGCTACATCCCCACAGCTACTGTTAAAGAAATCCACACACATCTAAAAGACACTCATGATCAATCACTAAAAGCAAGTTGACCTCCAAAATAAACTGCAATGTTACTCGACTGACTCTCAATAGAACAACTAAATTGGCCAGCTATCTATTTATTAAACATTTTAAAGAAAGACAAATCCTCTCCAAGTACAGATTTAGTGACCATGATCTAGAGATAGGAAGACATAGGCAAACATAAACAGAGAGCAGAGGATCTGTAGACACTGATCTACAGCACAACACTTCCTGCTCTTCTGTCCCAAATACACTAATCTTTTCTGCCCAGATCCCATCATTCTCTGAACTGACACTGAAAAAAATGTCCTTCTTACTCGGAGAAAATGATAGTACAGCTGCACTAGCGGCTAAATGTGTTAGCTATTCAATTCTCTCTAGTGACCCAATGTATTTATTTTATTAAGATTGGTTGTGTGTATCTATTTCTATGATTTGACATGATCATTTCACAAGATGTAAACAACACTGGTCCAGAAACACTTCCTGTTTCAGTTTGTAACTGTTTTCTTTATTTCACATGTAAAGAAAACATCTTATAGATGTTTGCTTAACTTTTTGATTCAGTTTTAAATGTTCTGTTGGTTGTATTTTATCCCAGCTTTTGTGTAGTGTTAAAAAACTGAAACAGGAAGTGCTTATGGACCAGTGTTGTTTACATCTTGTGAAATGGTCTATACATACGTTTCGTCTGTTTGTTTTATTATTTATACATGATATTTTGATGCTTTAGCAACATTGTGTTACACAGTCATGTTAATAAAGCTAATTTGAAATTGTAAGCGAGTGTGTGAGGAGTAAACGGACACGACTCAAGAATGACGCTCAGTCTCTACACCCCTTCCTCCTCCAGATTTATTGATAGTTTAAAATTACATTTCTATGTCCTAGAACTTCAGTTGCGTTCACCTTCCGACTTAAAAACTGAGTACAAGCAAATTATAGTTTATTATTATTATTATTATTATTTTTTAAGAGTAGTCTAAGTGATATTGTACAAAAATAACATTTTGATTTCTGTGAAAGCATTCACCTTTCTTCAAACTCCGAATCTGTCTTGTGACCCCTTAGTTTGTTTCTTCTTTTATCGCTGTATTAATGAAGTTTCCCTCGGGTGGAACGGCCTAAACTCCACGAACGAGGCCTTCGACTGAATATCACGATCTGAATATGCTATAAAGTAGTTTGCTTTACATTGTTTTCTCCGCGTGTCTTGCGTCCTGCTGGCCCGACGGGACCGGGTGTGTCGTGTGCTGGTCATTCACTCTCTCACTGATTAAAATAACACAAATAAAAGCAAATCATCAAGAAGCCAGCGCTCCCGGCCGGATCTGATCTGTGTGGTCATTGGCTACCGTACTCTCGATCTCTCGACACGCTCGTTCCTCACTCAACAACATCCCTGTTCACCAGTGGCATGGAAAGGGGGTTCTTTAACAAAGCATTATACGTTTACACCTCTAACCAAACTAAACATAAACATTTTTTTTTTGTATTAAATGCAGAAAGTGGAAGTTTTTTCCACCCCTTTCCTCCTTTTAACATGTCAAGAGCTCACTGGCCTGGGAATCAGCCTCTAACTGCCAACCGTTGGCCAGTGAAGAGGGTTCAGAGAAAATAATACAACCATCAATCAGAAAAGGAGGAGTTGATGGAGGGCTGGGCTAGGCGGTGGCCTCGATGGTGCACTCTTTGGCCACGTGACCCGACTTCCCGCAGTTGTAGCAGTTGACCTCGCTAGCCTTGCTGCACTGGACGGCTACGTGACCGATCTCGCCACACCTGCGAGGAGCAGAACACACACACACACACACACACACACACACAGATCAGGCCCGTTCCAGGCTCACACACACTCTTCCTACAACCGTCATGGCTCACCTGTAGCACTTGACCTTCTCGCAGCCCTTCTGGATGTGTCCGAAGCCGCCGCACGAGTAGCACTTCTGCTCGTTAGCGTGATCGCAGTCGCGTGCCATGTGACCTGCCTTTCCGCAGTTGTAGCAAACCTGCTCGCGCTCCTTCTTCGGCTCCTTGCAGTCCCTGGAGATGTGGCCACCCCTGCCGCAGTTGTAGCACGCTGGAACACACACACACACACAATTTAATCTACTAGAACATTGTTTCCTCGTACTCTCCACTGTTGCAGCTCCTCTCTTCCTAGTGGTGTGGGGGGATTCTTAGATGCATTGTAATGCGGACATGGACGATTCTGAATTGCTTCACAAATGTCGATTTTCAAAAAAACATCATTTTTATAATAACGTAATATTGACGTAAATAAAGTATCTTCTTATTAAACGGTCTGTACTCTTACAAAGTTCTCAATGCTTCGTTTTGCATGTATGGAGCCTCATTATGTTACTGTGTTAGTGTGGGGCTATTTTGAGCCTTGTTAGTGGTGTAAACTAGCGATTTCTCTTTACTTATTATATGCCCCCATTACTAGCATTATACACTAAACAGTTTTTAGAGATAAAACTCTTTACATTCAATTATCATGAAAACAAATCTCAGAGAACGGTCGACTAGGTACCGATGTTTTATTAGACCAAAGGATCATTTTGTTTTAAAAGTTCTCCTTTAAAAGCTGACGTGTGGAAATATTTTGGCTTCTGTTAAGTTTAAGGGGGAAAGGAGCTGGACAAGAGCCACACTACTTGTAAGCTTTGTAGAATAAAACTAAATATTTCAGAAACACCACATATTGGCCTTTTGCGATAGTCAATAAATAAATGAATCACACGATAAAAAAAAAATGAGCTTGATAATTTTTCCGGCATAATAATTTCCATTTGCATGCTTGTTTGTGTTTTCTTCGTCCGTGTCTCTCTCTGGGTTGCGGGAGAATAAAATAATTTGCGCGACTCCCACAAACTCAACATGACATCATGACTTTTGCGTAAACATACACGCCACTTTCGAGTCAAGCGGTGTCTTATCTCTACGCATTTTGAGCTATCCGCGTGTATCCGTGTATGTCTACGCCATTAACGTCCGAGTGATTCCGCGTGTCTGTACAAGCCGTCAAATGTCCGCGCGAAACGAAGCAAAATGTAGATCTACATCTGGGGAGCGATCTTTTTTTTTCTTAGGATGGTAAGGGAACAGTCATAAATGCTATTAACCCTAGTGACGGTTAGGTTTAGGGACGGGGTTGAGGTAAGTCATATATTTATATATACAGTAATAACGTTAAGTCAACGGTGTTCATTTACACGCTGAAAAGCGATTATGCGTCTTGATCGCACGCCAAAAATGGAAATACGAATTGGCGCGTCATACATACGCTACATCATGAGTAGGGCTGCAACTAACGATTATTTTGATAATCGATTAATCGGACGATTATTTTTTCGATTAATCGGATAAAAAATTTATTTCATTTTTTTGTTTATTATAACTAAATAAAACCCTAAAAACAACACTCTTTTGTGTGTTAAACAATCTTCTTAATACAGACAACTTCATTATATAGAAAAACAACAAATAAAAATAATATACATGACCATAACCTATGACAAAAATGCTATTGTAAACTAGATTAGTGGATAACTCAGAAAAACTTAGCCTAGAAAAATCACAAGTGCACAATAATTTTATAAAATCTGAACATTAAGTGAAAAAAACATTCCTTAGTGGGGAAAAAATAAGAGACAATAAGTGTAGCACTAACTCTGGTAAAACGTTACACAATGCTCTTTGTATTGTTGTTATACATTCATGAAAAACATCGTTAAAATCAGATGCACAGCTGTTTAGTGAGGAAGCAATATTGACTGTGTATTATACAGTATCTTTGCAATAGTTTATTAAGCCTTTTCTTTTAACAGTTTTAAATTTCAGTTAGGCTACTGTGCACGTGAAGAACAATTATAGTGCGCCGAGTCTACTCTAGTGTTGTGATCTAACAGACACTCAGTAGAAAGTGATTAAGTTACAGCAATAAAAGTCTAGCAAGATAGTCATTATATTACGAAACCATAGACCTTTATCTACGGATCAATTATAATAATAACATTGAATCATCTTGGAAAGAGTTTCATCATGTTAACTGTTGTAACGCAACGCGCTGTTTGAACACCGAATAGAGAATGACTGACAGCCGCAGTGGAGGGAAAAGCTTACGTTAACTTGAATTTAATGACTTAAATATACATTTCTATCTCACATTATACTACAGTATGGCTTCATAAAGTATACACGATTAACGCAGGTCACCTATTTTGGTTTCAAAACGTCGAATTTGCCGAAAGGTGAATGATTTTCGTGTATGCTGCATATTGATAGCGGTTTCCTGATGCCCGCAAATTAGTTCAAACTCACGGAATCAAGAGTGCACATGCGAGACAGAAGATAATGTGCTCCAAACCGTCCGTGTTGCGCACAGACCGGCGAGGGAGAGAGACTGCGTGTGTGCCTCATGAAGCGCATGTAAGAAGCGCATGTAGCATGTAAACAATCCCTGTGACGTAATCAGACCAACTAATCGATAATGACATTTGTTGACAACGATTTTCATAATCGATTATAATCGATTTTATCGATTAGTTGTTGCAGCCCTAATCATGAGATCAGTCTGACAAACTAGAAATATCTATGAATAAAACAAACTAATAGATATTTATACATCTGCTGCAGAAGAGCAACAAGAACAACTAAAACAAAATAGAAATGACAGCGTTGAGCGATGTAGCCAATCGCAGACGTGTTGATTTCTAGGAAAGCAATGGCTAATCAGAAGCAATTAAGATGGACTCCCCTCAATACTCAAAACTGACTTTTTGTTCAGTGCTGAATTCTATATGCTGGCAAATCCTTTAAATCAAATTAAAAACAAAGTGTGGATATTATGAAAGATTGATTGTGCAGCCAGCTTCATTGATAATAGCAGAGATGTGTGAGATTGCGATGAACTGATGTCAGCTTTTTAGGAATTATTAAGGGAGCGCACTGCACGCATTCAGTCATGACAGACCATGCACGCGGTGGCTGCTTGCATTTGTTATAACAGTGTGGTTTGTGTTAAATAAAATAATTTATCATAGGGTAGGGTTGGGTTTTGTTTACATCCATTTTATTTATTGTTTTTGGTATTTATTCAAGAGCATTTTGTGTTAGCAGAGACATTGCTTTTATTGTTTTTGGTTGTTTTGTTCATTTATTGTGGATATTTAAAATATTTTCCATTTTCAGTGATAAATAGTCTTAGTAATAAAATTGTATTGATCTTTGAAAAGGTGCACCTGCATTATTATACAATCATCATTATTTTAGATGGTCTCAGAACGAAAATATTATCGTTTATCGCAATCATTTCTTGGACAATTTATCGTCCAGTAAAATTTGTTATCGTGACAGGCCTAACGTCAAATATGAGAAGCCGTATGGCACGTTTCCACCCAGAGGAAAAACTCTCGGTTGTACCGGTCGCTGTTGTATTATTAATTTACTACAAGCATGCTGCTAGTTCAGACACACATTTATTTCCCTGTTGGTTCTTTGCAATGTTAATAAAATATATTCTATGTAGGGATGTCCCGATACCACTTTTTCACTTCCGATACCGATACCGATGCCGCACCTTTGGCTTTTGCCGATACCGATATTAGTCCGATATTTTTTTTTCCGTGGTCCGACGTGCCGTATACGGCCCACAGGGTGGTTTATAGGTTTAACTTTGTGAAAGACAAAACAAAACAAACACAAAAGTAAACATAATACATATCTTTGGAAAGCTGAGAAACTCGTGATTCGAACGACGTAAACCATTTTAAGATACAATCAACACAGCGGGCACAATCTGTCTCTTTGTCAGACCACCAACAGCCAAAACAAACCAACACAAACTGGAAGAAACTCACCAATTAGCCATCTGTTAGTCCACATTCCAACAAAAATGGTTTGGTTTCACTGTAAAGCGTCCATACAATCCAATTTGAAGAAGTTTTTAGTCCAAAACAATTGTATGAATAAACATCCATGGAATGTAAATAGTAGCATTTCGCGTTAGCCGACAGCGCTATCACAACTTCGACGCACTAATGCTACGTTCACACCGGACGCGAATAGGGCGTCAGGCGCGAATGATTTCAAGTCAATGCAAAGACGCTTTACGCGCGTGAAAAATTCCTGCGGCGCGAATGAGGCGTGGAGCGCGGCGCGGAAGACGCGAATACGCCTCATTCGCGCGTCAAGTTGGCGCGAATGGCGCGAATTGAGCGTTGTGCATTCACGCGTTTGACGCGAATTCGCGTCTGCCGCCCGAGTTGAAAAATCTGAACTTTGGCGTGAATTCGCGCCGCGTTAACCAATCAGGAGCCTAGCTGCTTGCTCACGTGGTGAAGTGTCTGGATGCTTCAATAAATTATTTTGTTAACATGACTAAATGCATGGTGGGATTATGCACAACAAAGCAAATGTTTCATCACTTAAAACATTATTTCTATATGGAGACATGTTCATTTTGTATTGAATGTTACTCATTCCATATCTAGAAATAGTATTATGTTGTAAAGACAATCAACATATGTGCATAAATTCGTGTCTGGACGTGAGAGAGAGAAAAAAATCACAGGACAGGTTAATAACTTTTGAAGGCTGGCTCTATTTATCATCAAAACAAAAATAAATGACAGCTAGATTAGATGGATGAGGGGCCGGGCGAGGGTGATCCTCGCTCAGATGCGGGACAACAGGTCATCAAACTGGGCGCGTGACAGGCGGAAGTACCGCTGACAGCGGCCGTCATCCAGCGCAGCTCCTGGAGCGAGCAAATGGTGAAACTCGCCAAACGGTTCGGCTCCGAAGGGTCCGGTGGACACAAATATACGGCGACGATGATCCCCACACCGCTGTTCTGCTCTCCAGAGTAAATACAGAGCGGTAACTCTCTTGATGAATGCACGTGACAGGCTGCGCCGCTAAACTGGATATCGCTCATATTTTTTTCTCCCCTCCGATCTCCGATCTAGCGTTCTGGGCCGGTATCGGCGCGATACCGATGCCGTGGATCGGATCGGGACATCCCTAATTCTATGTTAATTCTTTATGGCAGGGGCGTAGCCAGAATTGTATTTTTGGGGGGTCCCGTCTTCAAATGAGGGGGCAACATTATTTATATATATATATATATATATATAAAATTGATCTTTCCGTGCTTTTTAAAAAAAGTGTAATATTGTACTTTGAGTTTGAGCGCCTGCCATTGTCACGGCATATTAACTCTTACGCAAAGATGAAGATGACCGCGTACGTTAAGCGCAACACGTTATATAAACAAATCAAGTTTGAAAATAAGCCGCATTTTACCGCGCAGCATTTTGATTGGTCAATCTATCAATCCTAATAAAACAACTTTTTTTTTTTTTTTTTTAAGCAATCAGAAATCTGAGGGGACCGGACATGTAAATGAGGGGGCCTAGGCCCACCCAGGCCCCCTCGTGGCTACGCCACTGCTTTATGGGTCATTACTTTGTACTTTTAAAGCAAATTAATTATAGTCACACACACAAAAAAACAAATCAGATAAATCGATAATCGCTTGAGCATCAAATCCCAGCCCTCTGAATCATAATCGAATAGAACTGTGAGGTGCCTAGAGATTCCTAGCCCTACTTCCCAGTCTGTCAGTAAAGCTTGTATTATTTCCCGTATAACGCTGCAACTCGCTGCTTCACTACTATAGTACAATGATGCATCGTTGAAGAAATCATCTAGCCAGTCACGACTGTTTCCTGAAACCGTCTCGCCGCAAATTGGTCGTTCAATCACGTTGGTTAATGTCGTCACACTGGTGTTGGAGTAATAACTAGAGCCAGACCGATTTACCGGCAGGCCGATATTAGGCATTTTTCAAACTATCGGTATCGGCAGTTACAGGGTATATACAGTAATCCTTAAGTTAAATTTACTACTTTTTAATACCTTTTTTACTACCTTCAGAATTTTTTTTAAAACCATCATGACACTGAATTGCAAGTGTTAACCAATGAACTTTCTATTACACAGATTTTGACATTTATAACATAGAAAAATGAATAGATTTAGAGCACGCATTCCATTTTTATGTTTAGTGAATTGCATTTGAGACCGAAGTGGATTAGCTCCCATCCAGTTGACATTGATGTTTTTTTTACACACCAAACAATAGAGGGAAAGCATTGACATCACTTTCCCGCCGGTACAACCCCCCTCAACCTGACTAAGTGGCAAAAGATCTGTTGCGTGACTGGATTTAATAGGGGAAACTATTAAACGAAAATGCGACTAAAACCAACAATTTGATCAATTTAAACTAAATGTTGGACTCAATATAGTTGGACTCCTAACAACTTATTAAAGACCCAGTGATCCATGGATATTGACATGCAGCCAGCAATCATGTCACCTGACATTTATGTTTAACTGATTTCAATAAAAGGGAAATAAAAGCAATATATAGACCTACATAGGCTAAAGCAAATTTGCCTGTGAACGCTTTATAAATACAATATAGGTAGGTCTAAATCCGGGTGATCACTTATATCAGGGTTATATATAGCCTCTATATATCGTCATATCGTCCAGCCACTGAATATGACGTCAGCATCAAACATAGACTGAGACAAAAGATCTTTGATTGTGCCCAGATAAGCTAAAGCCCATATTTATACGGACTAACGCAAACTCAAAATAGGACACCTGATAGTCTGAAAAAAAATAATACCTAATTTTTAAAAAATAATACCTCTCAGACTACATTTAACACTTTTAATGGCCTTAAATTTGACAATTTTGATTTATCACTTTTTAATTCTTTTTAAAACCCCGCGGACACCCTGAGTTATAATGGCAGATAAATGAATATTTCAAAAATAAAATAAAAACGGAGGAAACACGCTTCAACCATGTCATGAGTGTTGGAGTTGTATAGTTTGTCTACCAGAGGGCACTCTACACCGTCCCTGTTGGCAACACTTGTGTATAACGCGCCACACATCCGGTTGCAGGTAGCTTATAAGGCAATGTAGGGACTAATTATTATTTTATTCATCAGAACTTCAATATATTTTGATATTCCTCTGTTCTGTTGTGACGATAAAAGAAACAAGTTTCTTTTTAAAATGCATTATCATATTATTTTAGTTAAAACTCATAAATAACTACAAATAACTAATGTTAGGGAAATCTGTCAATGTTTTGTTGCGCGTTTCTGGAAAAAAATAAAAAATATTGGCCGATATATCGGATTTTAAAACCAACAAATATTTGTATCGGTATCGGCCTTCAAAATCCTTTATCGGTCGGGCTCTAGTAATAACACTTTTAATGAATGTGTTTGAGATGGAATTAATGCGAGATGTTTTACTATAAATTACATTCCTGGCATCTGAGGAATATTTCTCAGTTATTTTGCTTCATCTCCAGATTCAATCATAAGCTCGTTCTAACACACTAGAGCTCGTTCTCGCGCACTCTTCAAACACGACGCTTTAAATCTCGACAAACTAAAAAACGTAAATGACATTAGTATGTGTTCTAAATAAAAGACAAAGACATGTTTGTCGGAACGATGGTTTCGGGAAACACAGTCTCGCTGAATTATCCTGATAACGACCATAGTTGGCCAACAATGCTTTCAGGAAATACACTTCTGTTTAGTTCCTGTCTCTATGAAGCCCCTCCTTCTGAAAGCACACTGTGCTCTAATTGGTCGGCTGGAGCAGTGTGTTCTGATTGGTCAAGCGCTTCGAGTGTGTTTGGGAAATGTCCTGCCCCTTTCCATAACCGCCAGTTTAACACTAACTCAACCAGGCCCCGCCCCTTTATTTTGCATATGAATTATGAGGAAGAAACTCAAGACTCAAGAATGGAGGCGTTTCAGGTGTTTCACTGACACTGATGTAGAGAATAACTGGAGCTTGTTCATGATCAAACAGCAACTTTACACTAAACACAGATGGAAATCAACAATATAATGCACTTTAATGGACTTAAAAACAGAAACAGCCACTCACTACCATTCTAAAGCTTGGAAGAGTGATTGTGTTCGTCTGAAAGAAGAATGTCGTGTGAAATGTGAAAAAGCGCCTGCTAAATGAATAAATGTCATTTACACCTAGGATGACTTGTGAGTAGGGGTGTAACGGTACACAAAAATCACGGTTCGGTACGTACCTCGGTTTTAAAGTCACGGTTCGGTACGTTTTCGATACAGCAAAAAGAAAGAAATGCCAGAGAAATGTCCTATTTGTTTAAAGAAAAAATATTTTTAAATAAGTGTGAGTTTTCCTAGATCTTGAAACTTTCAGGTTTATAAATAGGGGTCATCTTTGAAGGATGAACAAATAATGTTTTGGTCATCACATTAAAAATAACATTTAAATATATATTTATTTATATAATATTTGAATTTTGAAGTGCTGGAAAAAGATGTGTGAAGTACTTGAAAGCATTTCACCATTCCAGCCAAACTGGTTACAGTTAGTGTTACTATATTAAATCCATGGTGAATGTTGCTGGTCTGTGGACGTAAAGTAGCCTACTAGTTCATTCGCGGCACAATGTTTCTCCTGGTTTCCATGACAGAGATGAATGCATCTCACTAGATCTCGCAGCGATATTATTACCTCAGTGGCGAATTCAAATGTTTTCTTTACCGGATTTCTTGGCGCGGTGTGGTAACAGTGTTGCTTGATCGAGATCGGCTCGCGCTGCACAGATGTTGCTGGTCCGAACTGATAAACGATCCGTGAAGCACATAACGAGGAGCGCAGTTTCGTTCTGCTTTCATTACCCTTGCCATTTGGATGTTGCGCAACGTTGTGTTGGCCGCGTCAGCACGAATTTTGCCGGCAAGAAAAATGGTCCAAGCAATCGTTCGGTTTGTATGCGTACCGAACCGGAAGCCTCGAACCGAAACGGTTCAATACGAATACATGTACCGTTACACCCCTACTTGTGAGTGAGTAAATCATGGACTACTTTGAATTTTTGGGTGAACTATCCCTTTAAGACTGTAAAAGACAACTGAGTGTGTAATGAGTGAGATGTACTCACCATCCTCGGTGCGCTCACAGTCCCGCGCGACGTGGCCCGGCTCTCCACAGCGATAGCAGAACAGATCTAGCGGCGCAGGAGAAACACATTACACACACACAAACTTGGGGTCAAGTCGTTAGATCGATTGGTCTCACCTTTGCCTCTGCCTCGACCTTTTCCACGTCCACGTCCCGCATTGGGACAGTTCTTGATCCAGTGGCCAGTGCGACCGCAACCAAAACACTCGTTGCTGCTCATAGCCTCAGACTGCACCCTACGACTGAGAGAAACACATACTCGAGTTTATGAACACACACACACTCGTTGCTGCTCATAGCGTCACACTCGAATTCATGAACACACACTCATAGCCTCAGACTGCACCCTACAACTGAGAAAGAAAAAAAACACACACTCCAGTTCCTGAACACGCACACACACACGTTGCTGCTCATACCCTTAGATTGCCCCTACAACTCCAGTTCATGTACACACACACTGATCTAAGGTGTGTTAAGAGGTCTGAACAAAGCCGTTCCCATCTCGACGTCAGAGTTATGGTGGATATTTAATAGGCCTATAAGTTGGTGCTCATAAAAATTATCAGTGAATCATTATTTTTTTTTAAAACAAACAACTAGCTGTTCAAACATTCCTAACACAAGTCGAATGAGTAATATTCAACTGTAGGGAAATACACTCACCAAGGATTATTAGGAACACCTATTCAATTCCTCAATGCAACTATCAACCAATCATATGGCAGTTGCTTCAATGCATTTAGGGGTGTGGTCCTGGTCAAGACAATCTCCTGAACTCCAAAAACTGAATGTCAGAATGGGAAAGAAAGGTGATTTAAGCAATTTTGAGCATGGCATGGTTGTTGGTGCCAGACGGGCCGGTCTGAGTATTTCACAATCTGCTCTGTTACTGGGATTTTCACACACAACCATTTCTAGGGTTTACAAAGAATGGTGTGAAAAGGGAAAAACATCCAGTATGGGGCAGTCCTGTGGGCGAAAATGCCTTGTTGATGCTAGAGGTCAGAGGAGAATGGGCCGACTGATTCAAGCTGATAGAAGAGCAACTTTGACTGAAATAACCACTCGTTACAACCGAGGTATGCAGAAAAGCATTTGTGAAGCCACGACACACACAACCTTGAGGCGGATGGGCTACAACAGCAGACGACCCCACCGGGTACCACTCATCTCCACTACAAATAGGAAAAAGAGGCTACAATTTGCAAGAGCTCACCAAAATTGGTCTGATGAGTCTCGATTTCTGTTGAGACATTCAGATGGTAGAGTCAGAATTTGGCGTAAACAGAATGAGAACATGGATCCATCATGCCTTGTTACCACTGTGCAGGCTGGTGGTGGTGTAATAGTGTGGGGGATGTTTTCTTAGCACACTTAAAGCTCCTTAGTGCCAATTGGGCACCGTGTAAATGCCACGGCCTACCGGAGCGTTGTTTCTGACCATGTCCATCCCTTTATGGCCACCATGTACCCATTCTCTGATGGCTACTTCCAGCACGATAATGGACCATGTCACAAAGCTTGAATCATTTCAAATTGGTTTCGTGAACATGACAATGAGTTCACTGTACTAAAATGGTCCCCACAGTCGCCAGATCTCAACCCAATAGAGCATCTTTGGGATGTGGTGGAACAGGAGCTTCGTGTCCTGGATGTGCATCCCACAAATCTCCATCAACTGCAAGATGCTATCCTATCAATATGGGCCAACATTTGAATGCTTTCAGCACCTTGTTGAATCAATGCCACGTAGAATTAAGGCAGTTCTGAAGGCAAAAGGGGATCAAAATCAGTATTAGTATGGTGTTCCTAAATCCTTTAGGTGAGTGTATAATTTGCATTTACTTAACAACAACGATAAAAAATAATTTCCATCACAAGACTCAAAACAATGTTTTTTGCAATTATTAAAACACTGCCAGATCTGTCAAAGTAAACAGTAATAGTCTCTTTTCAGTATCTTTTTTTTATTATTCCCCATTTCATTAATAATATGTTAATATTATTATTTTTGCTATATCTAGCCATGAATATATATATAATATTGTCTTTTACATTTAGTTTTAATATTATTATTTTCTATATGTTTAGTACAGCCTTTGTAAAGAAAATAATTATAATAAAGCTAAATAAAAAGGACAATATTATTATTATTCCCTATATATTTTATTGATATGTTAATAATATTATTATTTTTTATTGATCTAGCCATGAAGATATATAAGAAGTCTTTTTTGTTTAGTTTTATTTTTATTTTCTGCACACAGGCTTGACTAAATGTTCTAAATCATTTTCTGATGTTTTAAAAGGGTTGGTATTATGCCCTTTTGACAATATTACAAGATATAAAATAAGTCTCTGATGTTCCCAGAGTGTGTGTGTGAAGTTTAGCTCAAAATACCCCACAGATTTTTTATAAAGTATGTTAAAACAGTAAAAACACAAATCTCTCCCTTTGCTTTTAACTGTGAGCATTACAACTTTGCAGATTTTGTTTATGCTCAAAAAGCAACATTACACACAAACTACAGTTAGAAAAATCAAAATCAACCACCCCTTTAATGCTTCAAAATGTATTTTTTGTCGTGCCAATAAAGCTTTCTGAATTAAATTAAATCGGTTTCAGCGAGTCAGTGGATGATTTGAGATCAGTTCAGACAAATTCAATCAATTCCTTGAAAAGAGAATCAACTCATTCGTTCACGAATCACATAAGCTTTACCAATGTTCTAACTAATCTTCTGTTGTTTTCATGCTTTGGCAATAACATCTATTTTTATGGTTATGCCAAAAGCCTTCTGAATTGAATTAGTTTTAGCCAGTTTAGCCGATTCCTTGAAAAGAGAATCGACTCATTCGTTCACGAATCGGACTTCAAAACAACTGTCACCATTTAGCTACATATCACATTATGCTCTCCATAAACCATTAATGTGCTGTAACCTACAATTTGAAGAGGGTTTTCGATTAAAATCGGTGCGACTGGAATGTTTAAAAAACAAACAAACAAAAACCCAACGAATTCAAGCGTTCAAACGCGCCAATTGTGAACAGAAATGCTATGCAAATAAACACACCGAGTCACTGCAGACAGCAAGTGTCTTTGAATCTCCCCGCACTGGAAAGAATCAAAACAAGCTGGTCGTGTGAGATGAAGCCCTGAGGAAGATCAGCAATAGTCTTCCTCAGGGCTGATTTCTGGCCTCACTCACCCGGTCCATCAGGCTGGTTCCCACAGACCTATTCTCTCACACACATCCAGTCCCACGACGACATTATATCTATCCTTCAGCCACGCGTTTGGCTAGTTTCACACACATTAGCGTCGCGATAATGGCCGCCTCGATGAACGAGTTTCCCGCGCCCAGCCTGTCGCAGTTTAGGCCAAAGCGCGCCATCAGAAAACACACTTCTGTGTCTTTCTGGACACGTTTAACCTGAACGCTTCGCCTTAAAAACACGCCCGTGGCGTTTCGAGACGGCGAAAACTCTCTCCGAGACCTTGACGGTGTCACCACACTATATGCGTCGAGTTAAAAGTCGTGTTTTCGCCCGTTAAGGGAACTCACCTCGGCGACGTGACCCGTTGCTGTTTATTTTCGGTTCCTCCTCTCAATGTCTGCGCCACACGCGGTTTGCTCACGGTACCGAATTCTAGAGCCCCGCCCACATCTGAGCTCTGCACACGGCCCGCTCATTCTAAGCGCGCTCGCGCGCACACACACACACACTTTTTCTCCCTTTCTCTCTCACACGCACACACTCAGACAAACAATCTCACACACTCTCTTAACACACACACACACACACACACACTTAGATAGCCATTCAAATAAATTATTCATACTTCTGCACTAGTAGTTTGTGAATAGTGTTTGGAAATAAATAATATATTTTCATCCACGACTGACTCCAGCTGACCAACATCTGTTTATTTATTTCTGTGTTCTTGTCTCTACAATATGTATTTTATAGGAATGCACCCGTTATAAAGAGAAAGAGAGAGAAATGTATGACACACACACATATGCAAAAACACACAATTTTTCTTTTCTTTTTTCCAGACATACATCATTTTTTCTAATATTTTTTATTTTTATTTAAAAAAACATGTTTAAAGGGCACCTATTATGGAATTTTGAAAATCACCTTTCATGTAGTGTCTAACATAGACATAAGTGAACGAAAACATCCTGCAAAGTTTTACTGTAAATATGAAGTTCACCATATACAAAGTTGTCTCTCAAAAAAACGAGTCGACTCTGAGTCGCTGATATGAATCGATAGACGAACGATGCTTTTTTCCTATCTAGATGACGTCAACTTGACAAGTTATTTGCTTGTTTATTGCTTGTTTTCCACTGCGTTGCCATGGCGCGAAATACTGTGTCATATTTAGAAAGCACTAAAACAAACTCAAAATGCCTGTGTTTTGAGTGATTTAGTTACTTGAATCGATCAAACTACAAGGAGATTTTATCGTGTAGACGTGTACCAAAAAGTTGTTCCAGTTCAATCAACTTAAAATTTTAAGGGAACCAGGTTACTTACTTTTTTAAGTTAAAGGGTTAGTTCACCCAAAAATGAAAATTCTGTCAGTATTTACTCACCCTCATGTTGTTCCAACCCCGTAAGACCTTCGTTTATCTTCGGAACACAAATTAAGATATTTAAGATATTAAGATCGCTCCTGCATACAGTCCATAGGCTTCTTGAGGGACTGGCTATTGCTGTCCCCGAAAAGTCATTAAAGACATCATTAAAATCGTCCAAGTGACTACAGGGGCTCAATCTTAAGTATATCCAACGACGAGAACACTTTTGTGCGCAAAAAACAACAAAAATAACGACTTTATTTCAACTATTCACTTCCTTCTCCATGGGCCTGTAGTCAGTTAACGTAGTGTAATTGCGTAGAGCTACGTCACACGTAGGCTCACTATTGGCCGACGCTGGTCATGTGTGTGTGATGTAAAACTAGTAACCTGACTCGCGCAGAGGGAGAAATAAACGAATAGTTGAAATAAAGTCGTTATTTTTGTTGTTTTTTTGCGCACAAAAGTATTCTCGTCGTTTGATAAACTTAAGATTGAGCCCCTGTAGTCACTTGGACTATTTTTTTTTTTTTTCACCCACCTTCACCCCCCCCCTCTTCGGAGGACAACTTTATCTATATACATATATACATACATACACACACACATACACACATATACAGTATATATACAGGACAGATACAGAAGCTTTTTTTTGAATACATACACAATATATTGTCTATGTGATGCACAGATTATGAGCTAGCTTGGGCTGATTGTCAGATTGTCACTTGGACTATTTTAACGATGTCTTTAATGACTTTTCGGGGACAGCAAGAGCCAGTCCCTCAAGAAGCCTACGGACTGTATGCAGGAGCGATCTTAATATCTTAAATATCTTAATTTGTGTTCCGAAGATGAACGAAGGTCTTACGGGGTTGGAACAACATGAGGGTGAGTAAATACTGACAGAATTTTCATTTTTGGGTGAACTAACCCTTTAACTTAAAAAAGTAAGTAACCTGGTTCCCTTAAAATTTTAAGTTGATTGAACTGGAAAAAGTGAGTTAATACAATGAAGGAGAATGATTTAATCATCAGAAACTCAAAATTATGTTATCTGAACTAAATAAATTATTTAAGTTGACTTGACAAAAGAAAAAATGTTGTGATTACTCACTGTAAAAAAAATATTGTTGGTTTAACTTAAAAAAGTAAGTAACCTGGGTTGCCTTAAAAGTTTAAGTTGATTGAACTGGAAAAAGTGAGTTAATACAATTAAATAGATGAATTGAATCATCAGAAAGTCAAAATAATAAGTTATCTCAACTAAATAAATTATTATAAAGTTGATTTGACAAAAGAAAATATGTTGTGATAACAAATCTTGAAAATATTTTTTTTACAGTGTGGATGAACACTAGACCATCATTAAAGAAAAATATTGGGCCGGGTGTCACAGCACGGAGCAAGAAGCAGACGTGGGAGCTTATAGCGCAAATTATTAACAGTTCATTCCCCTGCTTGTGCGCTTCAGGGAAGCCTGCTATATTCATAAATGCTGTTTATTTATTTATTTATTTATTGAGCCTGCAAGGTGGGAATGTCCAGTGGAAACTAAATGAACTGGGACACAATAAGAGGTTCTGAAAGTGCTGCAATTGTTTGTGTGATCACTGCTTACAGAAGGTTGTGACAGACCCAAATCACTGCTGCTTTATTGCATTTTCCCATTTGCCAAATATCTTAATGTAGGGATTACTTTCATTTCTGGCCTTATGGCATTGCGCTGTGTCAGAGAAATTAGCATGTCTCTAATAAGATCAGTCACAAACATGATCCCTGCACGACCTTGTCTCTAGCGTCTTATTAACTCACTGTCTTTTATTGCAACACATTTCTTCTCTCTGCCATTTTCTCCTCTGCTAAAGAAACTCTTAAGCTTCTTAAAAGTCCTCATCTGTACTCCTAACAATTTTGACCTTAAGATTCTTTCTGAATTACTTTTTTCTTAGGATTTTTTTCTTTCATTTTAGAGTAAATGCCCACATTTCTAAGAATTTTCTTAGAGCTATACTTTTTGCATTAAGATTCTTTATGAATACGGGCCCTGTATTCGGAGTATTTCACTGTGGATTATTTGGCAAATCATTCGCAATTTCGGCGCAGGCTTGCAGACAGTCTTTTAGGACATGGATCTGCTTGCAACACCACAAACATGTAAGTGATAATGTTTATTCTAATGATCTGTGATCAGTGATTTCTGATGTGTAATTATTCAGTTCAGACAGAGAATATTTCTCTCAAAAAATCGTTCTGTTTATGCATCAGTAAAGTAATTCCACCCAGTGAATAGATAGACAGACAGACAGACAGAGAGAGAGAGAGAGAGAGAGAGAGAGAGAAAGGCTTTTACAGCAGACTCGACTGACTGATGGAGAATATTCCAGCAGGATCAATACTCTGAGCTGCGGTCTCTCACTGTTAAGGCGGTTCAGCTCTGTATCATCAACATATATCTTTACAATAATATAACAAAATAATATTAAGATACAAAATACAAAGATAATTGCTGCATGAACATGGGATGAAACAAATTACTGGCTCAAATTCACAATTTTCTTTTTCTTCTCTTCTCAGGTTCTTGTTGAGGTGTTCTGTGATTTGTGATATCTTTTGTAGTGATTTAAAAATAGATCTTTTTTATGAACCAACCACACTCTAAAAAAATGCTGGGTTATTTTAACCCAATTTTGGGTAAAATATGGACAAACCCAGCCATTGGGTTACATTTTTAAATGACATTTTTTACCCAATGGCTGGGTTTGTCCATATTTTACCCAAAATTGGGTTAAAACAACCCAGCATTTTTTAGATTAGCCGAAGCAAAATTTCCCCTTGGGGACAATAACCTACCTACCTTATTTACAAAGCAATTTTTACAACACAGAACAGAGTTTCAGAGCAGCTTTACAGAGATCACAGGAAAATTACGCAACAACGTTTGTTTCCAGAAGAAAATAGCGTCACAGTCCAGCTTCAGTCAGTTCAGTGATGGTTCATTTCTGTTATTAATACCTGTTCAATTTCTCATTAATGCAATTATCTAATTAACCAATCACATGGCAGTTGATTCAATGCATTTAGGGGTGTGACCCTGGTTAAGACAATCTCCTGAACTCCAAACTGATGCTGCGTTCCAGGCAGGTTTTTGAACACGTAAATCACGACTTCAAACCACGACTTACGACTTTGTAGCATTCCAGGTCATTCACGCCAAACTACCTAGATGTAAACAAACCAGCATGGCGGACCTTACGGGGCTAATATTTTCTAACGCCAAAGGTGCTTACTCCTTGTTTATTTGTGGGAAACTGAGGAGGAAAAATAGCGAATGAGGCAAGATAAGCTCTTATACTCTTTATTTTACTTTATTTGTATATTTGGAAATGTATTTGGTATATATTTATCCTTGCACTCAATGGACTGAAAACTAGTTGACGTTATATTGTCCTAAAGTGTATTCTCACCGTGTACCGCCTGCAGAAACACTGCATCCGTAGGGGCTGTCATTGGTTCGCGGGCTATGTGACGTCAGAACTCGTAACTGGGAGTACATCGATCTAGTACGAGTTCACGGGTGGGAAGTCACGAGTTTGACTGCCGTTCCAGTGCACTTTCACGGGTATAAGGTTGGAAAAACAAGAGTTACAGGTTGCCTGGAACACGGCATGAATGTCAGAATGGGAAAGAAAGGTGATTTGAGCAATTTTGAGTATGGCAACAGCTGACAATTTGTGAAGCCACAACATGCACAACCTTGAGGCGGATGGGCTACAACAGCAGAAGACCCCACTGGGTACCACTCATCTCCACTACAAATAGGAAAAAGAGGCTACAATTTGCAAGAGCTCACCAAAATTGGACAGTTGAAGCCTGGAAGAATGTTGTCTGGGGACTGGTCTGATGAGTCTCGATTTCTGTTGAGACATTCAGATGGTAGAGTCAGAATTTGGCGTAAACAGAATGAGAACATGGATCCATCATGCCTTGTTACCACTGTGCAGGCTGGTGGTGGTGGTGAAATGATGTGGGGGATGTTTTCATGGCACACTTTAGGCCCCTTAGTGGTAATTGGGCATGGATTAAATGCCACGGCCTACCTGAGCTTTGTTTCTGACCATGTCCATCCCTTCATGGCCACCATGTACCCAGTAACATGTGGTGAAATCTGATCATGGGTAGGCTGTGCAACAATACTGCACACAAATGTGTCCCTGCTTAATATAATACAAACACTGACTAACATATTTGGTTTTGATAAGAAAAAAATACAACTAGCCATACGAGTGTGGATTAGAACCCAAAACCTCTAAAATGCTCGGCAAAAGTTCTACCACTGGACCATTAAAAGACGCACGTCTACATGTCAGATACATGGATCTGTGTGTACGCATACACAACCACTTTTAAAACAAATTTAAGCCACTGTATATTCTTTCTATCAGGCATCATCACATCACATCGCTGCCTGCATACAGAGCAAAGTCGGAATCGCGGATTGAGTGAGAGCGAGTGGATCACGTGATATGAAGCAGTCTCGGTCTGTGCCTCAATGTGGATAATTCAAGACAGCATGAGAAGTGACTGCGTATGCACAAATCTGCGTAAGAGGCACTGCTAACCTCTGCCTTAATGGCCATGGCCTTGAATTTCCTGTATGAAACAATGGTTTTTAGGACCAAACAATGGCAAAAGGAGTATATTATAAGTAATGTCAACATTTCCTTTGTTGAGGCACTGCCTACCCTGCCACCCTGACCATACGTCCCTGCCATAGACTGTAAAAAAATAGGCCCCTGCATGTACCCATTCTCTGATGGCCACTTCCAGCAGGATAATGGACCATGTCACAAAGCTCGAATCATTTCAAACTGGTTTCTTGAACATGTCAATGAGTTCACTGTAATAAAATGGCCCCCACAGTCACCAGATCTCAACCCAATAGAGCATCTTTGGGATGTGGTGGAACGGGAGCTTCGTGTCCTGGATGTGCATCCCACAAATCTCCATCAACTGCAAGATGCTATCCTATCAATATGGGCCAACATTTCTAAAGAATGCTTTCAGCACCTTGTTGAATCAATGCCACGTAGAATTAAGGCAGTTCTGAAGGTGAAAGGGGGTCAAACACAATATTAGTATGGTGTTCCTAAAAATCCTTTAGGTGAGTGTATAGCCGCTCTGGAGTAAACAGTGATGTCATCGTCCAGCTCAGTTCAGTTCTCATGTAATGATGTCAATGCAAGAGATCAATAATATTGTTGAATATTAATTAAATGAAATGAGAGAAATATAAATGATGAATGCGTTGCATATACATAGAAGTGATCTTCACCTGAGCACATAAACTTCTGCATTTTCTGTTGTCTTCAGATGATGGAAGCATGAGGGAATACCTTAAATCTGCTCTCTGTTCTCTCTGCCTCTGAGAGCATCTAAGATGTCCTGGGATTCACACACACACACACAGAGAGAGAGAGAGAGAGAGAGAGAGAGAGAGAGGGAGGCTTTTATCTGACTCTGAGCCGCAGCTCAAGCACCTCAGCAGAAGAAGTGCCTTTCCTTGGATCTACACAATAGGAAAAAGCTCCAGGATAATTTGTGTTTTTCCAGCTGTACTTCAATGAGGATGCGGGCGAGGAGAGTGGATCCACAGTGTGTGATGATCAAGAAGATGATCTCACGGATGCATTTCAGCAGCTCTTCCTGACTCAGGTGAGGAATAATCTGTTCTCTACACGACAATAGCCGAATATGATGATAGAATGCAGTGGACGTCACTATGATCTTGCTATAAATGTTATCTTTTGTTTTACATCTTTGATCAAAACAAAATAAAACTCTTGCATAGATAGATCATCATGCATCCCATTACTATGCATATTACTATACTATACACTGTCTATATAGGGCAAAACTGAACAGATATGACAGTCATTGTGTAATGCTGGACTCATGAGATCATGTGTAATATGTTTCATTTAATGATTTGTAACACAATATCTGGAAGAGATAAGTCATGCAAGTAATGTGTTGCTGTGGCCATGTGGTGGCACTGTTATGACAGAAAAAAACTGTAGTAATTTCAAGTGTATGGACGATCTGAAAAAATACATAAAAAGCTAGTAAATAATAAAACTAGTGCTGGGCAACATCCAAAATGTAACTTTGTGTTTTTGTGTTTACACAATATAGGGTGTGTGTTTGCTGTTATTTAATTATTTTGTATGTATAAATAAATACATGCATTTACATAAATATAAAAATATTTGCACGTATATACTGTGTATATTTATACATAATTTATATATATATATATATATATATATATATATATATATATACTTGAAACAATTCTTAAATGCATATGTGTGTATTTATACAAAATAATTACACACAGCACAAGCACATATATTATAATTTTTTTCTTTTTTTTTGTGTGTGTGATTAATTGTGATTAATTGTTTCCCAGAACAAACACATCATCATATTTAAAACATTTTCTAAAGTAAAAGTGTAACCTGCTAAAACATAATGAGAATCTATCACTCATGCAGCTCAAATCGAAATCAGTGCTGAATTTTTGGATGTAAAGCTCTACTGTGTCGTAGCGTTAGGGTTTGGGTTTCCTTGAAAGGGATATCGGCAAATCCAGTGTTTGGATCCAAAAATACCCAAAAATCTAGTTCCATTTAACATAGGCAAAGGTATCAAACATTTGAGTTTGTTGTTTCACAAAGTGTAAAGGGTTCTTTATGGCATTAGCACCCCAACCCAAACACAGAGACTCTCTGACCCCTAACTTACAGTATTGATGAAGTGTTTACTGGAGCTTTTGTAAGACACTGCCCTTATAGTCCGTCAAGCAATGGGGGTCAACCTTGAACAAATTCCAAATGAAGCAAACTCAACTGATTTTGTATCCTCGATATGTCATGAGTAAGTAAAAAAAAAATCCCAGAAAAAAATCCCATCAGGGGAAAGTTTAGAAAAAGACCCAAATATAGCCATTCATTCGCCTATTCACACTGTTTCTCACGTGAATAGGGTAAAAAGTGTTTGATTGTTTGAAATGAGTTGATCACTTACATCAAGACAAACAAAAAATGTATTACAAGTTTTTTTTTCTTAAATTGTTTGTTAACATGGGCAACTGGTACATGTGCTAATTTGCATAAATAACAACTTTTTTATGTTGTTATTATTATTATTCTTAATAATTTTTAAATATCTTGTATAGCCAAATATTATCTCACAATCTTTGGATATACAAAAATATAAATAATGGTTATAATACAACAGGGCATATCTGAGTAAATAAAAAAGTCATTTTATAACACAACATATCTAAACATTGGGTACGGGCCCAGGTGAAAATGTCTTGTAGAATCTTGTTGTCATCTTACAGTAAAAGACTACGATATCTCACGACCAATTCGTACGAATTCGTACGAGTGATTAAAAAGTGGCCCAATGGGCTCTATGCACGGCGTTATTTCCGGTGAAGCATTAGGGATGCTCGATAACTTCCGCCGATCATAGAGTCCAATGCAATACCGAGAATTTATATTGAATTTTATACTCCATGGTTATACTAATGAAACGTTAGTCACAAAAACAGATAAAACAGACACCCCTCGTTGTGTTTATGCTTCTTTTTAAAATTATATTAAATAAACATAACTATATATAAAATTACATCTAAACGTATGTACGTTTCGTTTCAAAGACGGGAGGACAGTAAATATTGAAGACTCTGCCATAATCCCGTTTTCTCCGGTTTTCCTCCGCTTTAATCTACACAACCGGAAATGGACGAGCATCCTTACGTCAAATGCGGAACTTATGCGTGCATATAGCCCATTCGTAATTCATACAAGTACGACCTCCCTCGTACGAATTCGTACGATTTGTCCAAACCCACGTGATTGGTAGGTTTAGGGGCGGGGTCAGGGTAGGTCATTCGTACGAATTCATACGAATTGGCCAATTCGTAAAATATGTAACTTACGATTTAGCAAAAACGTACTAATTCATACGAGTGAGGTCGTACGAATTGTTACGAATTAGCCACCTCGTAAAATTCGTAAGAATTGGCTTTATGCCCAGCTGCACTACTTCCTGAACTTCAGCCAGCTCCTTGTTTCCTGTCTGCCATTATTGGCCAAATTGATTAATTCAGGTGTGTCTGATTATTGTTGCTACTGACTACTGAGGTCAAGCACACCTGAATTAATCAATTTGGCCAATAATGGCAGACAGGAAACAAGGAGCTGGCTGAAGTTCAGGAAGTAGCGCAGCTGGGCATAAAGCCCATTGGTCGTGAGATAGTGTTGGAATGTCCCCATAAGTGGCAGAGATTCAGTCGATCATTCAAGGTCCACAAGCTGTCACTAAGGTAAGAGATTTCCTTTTCTTTCTCCTACATGAATTAATGTGATTGTTTGATCCAGCCAATTTTTATTTTACTTATGCATTCTCCTTACCCGTGTGTCTCTTCACTCAGACTCGTCCTCTAACAGTTCCACGGCCCCAGCCCCAAAGCCCCATCTCTGCAATATTAATTAATAACGTCTGGTTTCTAAAGTACTTCTGACTTCCTCTATGCATTAATGTTCATGGGTGGCCTAAATGGATCCCTTCAAACCTTAACATTAAGTATTTTACTGTTATATGTCAACAAGGTTCTACAAGACTTCTCCTGGCTATACCCAGTGTTTAGATCTGTTGTGGTATTTATGCAAATTAGCACATATATACGTAATTTGATTATGCACCACTTGCCCATTTTAACGAACAATTAAAAAAATGCAATATGTTTTTTGTTCCTCTTGATGCAAATAGTCAAATCTTACAGTAATTTTCGTGATGATATCTAAAGGTTAATTTTTACCCTGTTCACGTGAGAAACAGTATGAATAGGTGAATGAATATGCTATATTTGGGTCTTTTTCTAAACTTTCCCCTGATGGGATTCTTCTGGGCTTTTTTCCCTTACTCAGGACATACTGAGATTAAAAATCAGTCGAGTTTGCTTCTGTTGCAATTTGTTCAACCTTTTTCAAAAAATGACTGGACTATTAGGAAAATGATCCATGATTTTTTTTGATCGATTACTGTTTGTATTACCATAGTTTTCCGACAAATATGATTAAATGATGATGGATGACATGCTATTGTTTTAATTAATGGAAATCACTTTGGCCAACGTATGTTGTTTTTAAATGTAGGCTACTAAACTAAACTAAAAACTAAACTAAACTAAACGTCCTGTAAAATCCGTTTTGCATGATCCTCTTGTTCATTAATATTATCAGGGTCTGGATCGGGGTCAAAATGGTTTAAAAATGACACCATTGTTAATATTAACATCTGAGTAGATCTCACGGTTATGAAGGGGCGAGACATTTCCCAAATGTATGTGCTGAGCGCTGCCAATCTCAGCACACTGGGCCAGCTGAACAATCACAGCACACCGACCCAGCTGACCAATCACAGAACACCCCGACCTAGTTGACCAATCACAGCACACTGGGCCAATTACAGTGTTCAATGCTGCTCGGTATACGCAACAACAGAGGATATTAGAAGACATGTTTGACGTTTATTGTAAAAATATAGGATATTAACATAATGATGTAGTTGTTTATATTTTTAGCTTCATTGCAAGTGTATGACATTTGGTATAGAAAACAATGGTTATTAAGTGCTTTTAGTAAAAATGAGAAAGAAAAATAAAGGGCTTTAAAACAAATAAAGTCATGTGAGTAGATCTCACGGTCATGAAGGGGCGAGACATTTCCCAAATATGTGCTGAGCGCTGCCAATCTCAGCACACTGGGCCAGCTGACCAATCACAGCACACCGACACAGCTGACCAATCACAGAACACCCCGACCCAGTTGACCAATCACAGCACACTTTGTCAGCTGACCAATCACAGTGTTCAATGCTGCTCGGTATACGCAACAACAGAGGATATTAGAAGACATGTTTGACGTTTATTGTAAAAATATAGGCTATTAACATAATGATGTAGTTGTTTATATTTTTAGCTTCATTGCAAGTGTATGACATTTGGTATAGAAAACAATGGTTATTAAGTGCTTTTACTAAAAATGAGAAAGAAAAATAAAGGGTATTAAAACAAATAAAGTCAGTATGTGAGGCTAAATTGATGTGTTTTAATCTGAATTATGTCAAATGTAAACTAGGGGTGGTGATGGCCCAGTGGATAAGACACATGCCTTTGGTGTGAGAGACCCGGGTTCGAATCGCAAGACACTTAACCTCTAGTTGCTCCAGAAGCATGCGACCTCTGACATATATATAGCAATTGTAAGTCGCTTTGGATAAAAGCGTCAGCTAAATGAATAAATGTAAATAAATGTAAAATGTGTGCTTCCATTTCAGTTTCCACAAATCCCTTCACTCGATTGGGATGTTCTCTTGTGTTCTGGGCAGCAAGTGCAGTAACTGTAACATCTGGGTATATTTTGTAGTATTAAACACATATATATACTGACTTCATCAGGGTCTGAAAATTCTTAACAAAGAACACAAAAGAATGGCCTTCTCAGCTGCCATAGTTGCAACTCTTGTGTCATCAGAACAGCGTCATTTCTATTTAAAAAAAGTTGTGCAACGTTTTATATGATATCTATGGGCGTAATGTTATGACGCAGCGCCTGAAAATAGTGCCCAGCTTCCAATGT